AAATTTGAAAAATACATGCAATATTGTTTTAACGATATTTGGGCAAGTAATAAATAATTTCAAATGTTTTATTAAGTAGTTGTGCATTTGAATCAGCCCACAACAACGTGTTCAAATATAAAAATATGAGATATTTTTATTTTCATGTTTTTTTACAACTAAATTTTCCTTAGTGTGTGTGAGTGTCAGGATACAGTGATTTCCTTGTAGTTGTTTTCCAAGATAAGAAATAAATGTAATTTCTTTGTGAGTATGTGTGAGAAAGAAGAGGTGAGGGAGAAAGTGTAAGTGTCTAGTAGCTTAGTGAGGAAGATGGGTGAATGTGTAAGGGGATTCATTTGAGTGACATGAACTGTTGTTGTCTGTTGCCATCTGTCTCTCTTTACTGGTTTGTCAGTCTGGAAACTTTGCTTAAATACCCTTCAAAGAAATCATGACCCATTGGTTGAAAATGTTAAATATTTTCAAAGCATTAATTTATTAACCGAAACACTGTGCAATCCTTCGACTCAGAAACCATTTTTGGTCATTTGGTGTTTATGTTTATTTCCGTCTCCGCTTCACAAAGTAGACTTTAATTTAGTGTTGGAAATGAATTATTAAAACAAGAAATACTCTAGAAGCTCTCTCTCTTTAACATTCAGTAACCATTTGCATCTTAGTGGCTTTATTGCCTTGCTTTGTCTGAAACGATTAAGAGAAAAAAAAGAAAAATTTTAACAAGTAATATTTGAAACTAAAATTGTAAAAACACTTTTTCTCTAATGATACAATTTTTAAAAACCTTTTCACAAAAATCTTAATAAATTTGTCCTTTACCCCATTCCATATTTTTGCATTAAGATTATTGAGTTTGACCTATCCATGAATTGCAAACAGTCAATCAATTTCAAGGCCAGCAGAGTCTATTCTAGTTCTTCTTCAGGCCAGTGACGAAAACTATCATGTATTCTTTGTCAGCTACCTGATAAGATGTACTTTACAACAAACATTTTTAATTTTATAAGAAATTTCACAACCCAATTTTGGAAAAGCTGTTACCCTACAAACATTTTTTTCTCACTCATCTGTGAATGGGATGCAAACTAATTTTAATGCAAGAAAATGTGCTTCTATCAGTGTGACTCTTCTTTCTTTTGTGTTCTTGAGTTGGAGACTCCTGCCTTACTCATATGTATAAAATGCCACAATATACTATCCATGTTAGCATCTCAAATGATTTTTATATATGAAACTCTGATTTACCTCCTTTTCAATATAAGTTACATTTCATATAAATTTCTTGAACAAGACTCATATTTTGAGTCCTTCTTTTGATATAAAAAATCATGCATTCGAAAAAAATAGTGTTCAAAAAGCAAAACTTTCAACTATTTTCCTCTAAGTAATAAATAAAATTTAATTCAACATAAGTTTGTAAATTTTATAAATAATTTTTTTTTCTTTAAATTAGATGTATCTCCTTTTTTCTATTTTAGAAGTTATGCAGCAGGGATAAAATGAAAAATACTGCCCGAAAATGCAAAATATAATTTAATTATTTATTTTCAGATTAATATCCTTATATTTGTTATAAAAATGTTTCAGCCATTGGATGTGTTGCAGGGCCGATAAGGATGTTGACCCCACAAGCTGGTTTGTGTTTGAAGAAAGGTGTGAACAGCTAATACAATGAGGAGACAAAGGCACATCAGTTTTATTACACCAAAACAATGTGAGTTTTTATAACAAAATGGGGAAAGGATTATTCCAGGAGGAATGTCTGGATTGTAATCAGATCTGGGTAGACTGGTCTGGTAACCTGGGAGGTCACTGGTTGGCAAGTTGGTTGCTGGTTGGATGGAGGATAGACTTTCTTGGCCCAGGGGCTAAGATCGGCAGTGTAATATCTGTGCATGATTTGATATCCACTTTTGATCTTTGTGATGTCATGCTGAGCGATACACTTCAGTGAGATCCTGCTTTCTGTGGTTGATCCACAACTGAAGTTAGTTTCATCTCACTGACTCAGCCCTGTTTGAGATGAAATATCTCCAAGGATTTTCCTGAATCATTGAAGTAGATGGCCAGGAAGCAGGAGGTTTCCAATGGTCAGTTGAAATATCCCCAATGATTCACCTGAATTATTGACGCAGACAGCCAGGTAGCAACTATTCCAGTACTAATTTCAGTAGTGCTTATTTTTTTTAAATTGTAATTTTCTTTTTGAACAGTTATTTTAAATCAATTAAGAGGGTAACATATCTTGGTAAAATCATTTTTTATTCTGATATCATCCACTAAGGAGGATTTCCGATTTTTTCTTTTTTTACTCATAATAATACTTACCAGAAGTCCAGGGCTAGTAATTAAAATAAAAGTTTTAGTCACTATTTTTTATATTTCTAGAAAGATAAAACTGAGAAAATGATTGCTTAAAAAATAAAAATGATTCAAGATGAAAACACATGAAAAATTTTCCTGAAAACTGAAATACTGTTTTTAAAACAAATTTTTAAGATAATCTCGTTTGTGTTGTGTTGGAATCTTTGTAAAACTTTTTTTGCAGATATGCATCGGCAATTAATCTTTATGGAAATGTAAAAATTTGTGATTTAAACATTTTTTTTCAAGTAAAATTTAGTCATGAAAACATTGGTAGTTATTACAAAAAGAATAACATTTTCTCAGATTTTTTTTTAAATAAAAAACAAAACAAAAAACTATTTATTAATTAATGAATATGTATTGAAATTTTTATTTAAATTGGATAATTCCCTGATTATTGGAAATTTAAAAAAAGTGCTACCCTTACTTCTCAATTTTCCTTCAGGTGTTTGTAACCTTTAGGTTGGGAAACTTTCAAATCAATGTGTAGTAGAGAGCTGGGGTGCCTGTGTCAAAGTTTTGGGGTGGGGGTGAGACCCTAGTGCTGGCCCAATGTGAAAGTTTGAAATAAAATTACATGTATTAACCCTGATTTTTAAATTTTTATGAAATACAAGACTTATCTCATTTTTTACACTCAGTTTATAAAAATTTAAAAATGTCTCAGTGACACTTGTTGTGAATCATCAACCTACTCGACTCTTTTTGACAATTGAATGAATTGAAGTGAACATGATGATAATTATAATTATTTTTATGAGCCCAGCAGAATTGTAATTAGAACTTGTTATCTTGCATAATTGTGTGGTGCACAAAAGAAAATTTTGCACAAGGATGTTTTGTAAATTTTGTATTCTGTGCTATTATTATTTTTTATGACATTTACATTTAATAAATGTAAATTTCTTTCAAATTTCGCACCTAAGGATAAAAGATTTGACGTTCTCTCTTCTTCTCTCCTAAAAATTCTTTTAAAAAGCACCTGAAGATGGCTGGAAAGAATAACAGCTGAAACGTTAGCTACAAAGATGATGACTTTTTAGTAGTCTAACTGCAATAATAATTGCTCATTCCGAAAATTCAAACAGAAATTATTTAATTCTTTTTTTTTATTTCGTAAAAAACTGGAATTAATTTGCTTTGCACAAAGAAAAAAATGTACAGATATTCCAATGAAATTACAATAAAAAAAATATATATAATCAAGAAGAAATGTCCGTTTTTTGACTTCTTATATTTCATCTACAATATCGGATTCTTCATTATTTTTTATAGGATGTGAATTATTATTGGTGATAATTTTATTTTTGTTATGAAGCTTTCTTGTTGTTTAACAACAATCATTAAATAACATCCCGAAAGATCAAAATGATGGTTCTGATGCAAGAAATTTACATTCGCTGTTAAAGGATAAATTGTCTGGTACATAAAAAGTCGTTTGAAACGCTAAAATGGACTATATACCAACATAAATCGACATTGTGTCGTATTTGCCCTTGTGGGAAGGTAAATAAAATCGTTGACCACATCGCGATTACATTGATATTTATTAATCAGGTTTTTTAATTTGTCTTTCTCTGAATTTCTAAAAAAATATTCTTTAATACAAGAAAAGAATTGGATCTACATAAAGAGTAATTTGAATAGCAATTCATTTAACGAAACATCTACAAATTACATAATCTTAAATTATTTATTCATCGTACTTGACAAGTGTATTACAGGTGAATTGAGTGTAAAAGAAATTTGATTACTAAAACAACAACAACAGAAATCAGTGTAAATCATTGAAAGAATGACAGTTGAACAGTTATTTATGTAAACATAGAATATTTGCACTTACCTCGTAAATGTTTCAATAAAAAGCTCCGGACGTGCACAGCCAACGACATGCTTGTTTATTATGTTTGCCAACTCAGCACCTTTAGTTTCGTAAAAAAAAAATCAATTCTAAATAAAGTTTATTTAGATTTAATTTTTTTAATAATATTTACATATTAATTTAATTCTTAAGACACTAAGTTTTAAATTTAATTGAAATTACAAACCATAATTCAAAGAAATAAGAGAAGTACTAAACTAAGTTATTAAAAAGTTTATAAGAAATAATTTGTTTATTCAATCTTATAATTAAAATTTATTCTTCTTAATCTTACTGCAATAATTTATTTGTATTTTTTTTAAAGTAGAAGACTCATTATGAGACAAAATGTTTTCTTCACCAGATACCATTTTTTAACTTAAGTGTCAGTCTTTGTAAAGACTTTACAAGTCAAACATGTTTTTGTAACTATGTTACTGAAGCTGTAAAAAAAAAAAAAAAAAAATAATAACGAATACTGAATGCAAAAAGGTGCGACCTGTTTTAATTTTTTTTAATTAACTTTAATATTCAATTAAAGAAAATATTTTGTCGTTATGCAAACAAAAAATTTTAAAAAAATTAAAAAGGAAGAAAATTTTTTATATGATATTTAGAAAAAAAAAAAGAAAAATTGTTCAGTTAGGGAAGTTTACATCCGGGCATTTGTATTGGCGGCCATTCCGAATTTTTCTCAAGAAGTGAAAAAGTCAGTGTTTGATTTAAAAAAAAAAATATATATATATATATATATTTTCACTAATATCTAATTATGAATATCGCCAAGAAAACCACAGGTACTCATGCCCAAACTCGCAAAGAAATTACAAATGTAAGTAAATATTTGTTATAAAAACAATCATGGATGTGTCATCCCCTTTCGTTACAGCTGTCAAAAATTTTAAGTAGTTTTTTTTAAATAAATTAATAGTCGAAATATCGACTAAATATACAAATAATCATTTGATTAATCTTATTTAATTTAGTTATTGTTCGCTACTATTTTTAAAATATTATTTATCGTTTATATTCTAATCTAAGTTTAGTTTAGTTTGTAAATAAGTTTGTCAACAAATGATTGTGTGAAAAAATGAAATCTAAAGTAAGTTAACATTTCAAATTTCCTTTTTCTTCGCTTTTTAAACCCGAAAAATTTACCAAATTTAATTAAAGAAATTGTTTTGTCTCGTAATATAAATAATCGTTATAAATAACTCCAGTTAAATGTTAGAAGAAGTTAAAAACTTTCAAACGTTGACTCAACAACTGTTTTTTTTAAATTGTTACAACCGCGGGATAATTTTAAATTTAAAGAAAAATTAAAACACTTTTCCCCTTTTTGAAATATTTTAATAAATTATAAGTTATTTTAAGAATATAAATTGTGTTTGATTTCTTTTTTTTTTTCTTTTTTTTTTTCGTATTTTTAAAAATTATTTTTGAAGAATTTCTTGTCATTTTGAACATTTTTTTTTTTTAAAGAAAATCTTGTCGAGTTAAAAAAAAAAAAAAAGAGAATTTAATCTTACATTTTTTTTTTTTTTTACTGAAATCGAAAACAATTTATTTACAAACATGAAAAAATATGTTTTGTTTTTTAAATTTTGCTTTACTAACCTATTTTTTTCTTTAAATTGATGGGTGGTTTTAAAAAATAAAACATCTTTAAACAAAAAAAAATGTAAAATTTTCTATGAAAAGACTGAAAAAAGGAATTTTGAATGTAAATAATATTAGAAAAAACAAAAAAAGAAAAATTCTTTAGAAAATAGAACGGAAAAAAATCAAAATATGCTACAAATTTTTTTTCACAACAATTTAAAAAAAAAAAAGAAAAACGATTAAAGTAGAATCAAAGTTCAAATGCAGCCTTATTCTGTTACGTTATTTTTTTTAAATTAATGCTCTTGAGAAATGCATGAATCCATGTCAAATTTCCTGGCTAAGCAAGTAAGAATTTTTTGAGTGATTAGAATTTAAGTAAACATGATTCTAGCCTTTGGATAACTTCTAGTGACAATTGTAGAAGTTATCCAGGTTCATGTCGACCCACCCAGGTAAAAGTAGGTGTAGTGAGGTTGGGGATTTACTTAGTTGTAAATAATTTACATTTTATTTTATTTTGTAATGGTTCAAACTTTGCCATGGCCTGTAGCCTATTCCTGGCCAATTTCATTTATTATAGCTAATTAACACTTTTCTTTGGCAATTAACTTCATTCAGATGTCATTGACAATTTTTCTTTAGTTTTCTCCTGGTCTCATATCCCAAAATAAGACTATAAATTATTTATCAGTTAATTCACTGGCTGCTACAAGTCTCTCTGTTTATATATTTTATTTTGTTTTTCTATACATGCCTCAGCACATGTGGAGGATCACCCTCACCCTGTTACGTTTGTATGCAAATTTCCTTTCAGTTGTTGTGTATCCTTTTGTAGTAGATTATCATGATAATAGATTTTTTTTCCCAATGTTTAACACTAAAGAGAAATTCTACTTGAGATTTTACAAAATACAGATTTATTTAAAATATCAAGAAATAATTGACAAAGATTAATGGAAAAATAAAATTATCAGCTCAATTATGAAGAACTAACAAAAATAGTAAAAAATTGCTTTTATTAACTCTTCAGAAGATCAGATACTAAAATGCTTTTGCTATATGAATATAGGTAGTTCTATTTGATGACAATAGCAGTTATAAAATACATAGGATATGTAATTGTTATTCATAGGGAAATTTAATTTAGGCCCAAGAGACATTAAGACAGTAAGAAATTGTCTGGTTCACATTCTTCCCTGGTCTTTTGAACAGAAGTAGAGGTTTATTCCTTGTTTCCTGTTCTTTCTAAAATCTTTTTCCTTCTCTTTCTCTCCCAGCATCCCCTTGCATCTTAGTTCTATTATCGTCTTGCTTGGGGTGAAGTGATTAAAAAAGAAAACATCAAAACACGCACACACTATAAATTATATGATGTTAATGACTACTTGGTTCAGAGCCACTAAAAAGACTTTAAAATGCACAAATTGATGAATATTTTAGCATCAAAACTGACATGATGTTTTGAGAAGAATGCAATCAATTTTATGAATTTATTTATAACAATAGATGTGTTTGATTTACTTAGCTTTATTTTTGCATATTGTTTTGAAATTGAATGATTTGCTAAATGAGTGTTACATTCCTATCATTGGTAAATTCTTTTCTGTTTATCATTATTGTCCTTGATATTTGCAGACTGCAGCTGGCAAGAAAATACAATTAGAAGCAAAACAGTACCAGAGAATGCGCCAGTCATTTTTCACTAATTTATTATTGCTTGGATTTGATAAAGAAGCCAATGAGAAAAAAGATAATGTTATTTACAATGAGTAAGTATTCAAATAACAACACATGCAGCAAAAGACTTACAAAGCCAACATAAATGTGATTCAAGTTTTTGTATTGTCATGAACTTTTATGTTCATAACTTATGTTCAAATATTCATTGGAATGATTTGCTTATGTGAACCATTTTAGAATTTCTGGATGTTATAAGTATTAAAGAAAATTACTTCTAACATGTGATTTTTGCATCTGTAAATCTTTTCCTATATTTTTAATCCATTTTTTTTTTACTTCAAAACTCGAACTGCATTTTTGTTTACAAAAGACTATTAGTTTCATTATGCAAGTGTCATGGTCTTTTATTTAATATTTGTTTGCCTTTTCACTAATAATATTTCATTCTTGATATGAAGTTCTGTGTGTCAGTAATTTGTAAGGGAACAGACAATAAGTTTGTGGGAAGGGGTTGAAAGTTTTGTGGGCCACCAGGAACCTCTTCTGTCAAATAGAGAAAAATGGTGTGGTTTGGACACATTACAAGGCATGACAGCCATTGCAAGACACTGTTGGAGGTGGATGTAGGAGAGGATGTCAATGTGAAAACTGGTTGTCCAATGTCAAACAATGGATGGGTATGACTATACTTGAATTGATGATGGCTGCTGTTGAGAGACCATTGTGGAGGAGATTTAGTGTGGCTACTGCATTCAGATACTCTCTACAATTACAAAAGTCAAGGGGATACACATTGTTTGCAAAAAATATACAATTACCAAGAAAATCATGGTAGAATTGAATGTGAATGATAGATTATATTATATTGATTCTTGTTTAATTGTGTATGCCAGTATATGAAATAAATTTGACTTGAATGTCTGCTGTTTTGTTATTCAGTTGCAAACCAGTCTCTTTTGTATTGGATTTCTATCATCATCTATGTAAGCATACACATGCAGTATCGTCAAGTTATTCAGATGTCTGTCTATTTTTTTAAAAACTATTTAAAACTATTAGTTAAAACCTAGATATTTTAAAACTATCTACTGTAAATATTTTAAAACATTTGTGCAGTATTCATGATTAATTTTATTAAGTGTTGGTTTCAATTTTTTAATATAGAATTTTAATTTATAATTATTTTTTTTTTAAAAGACAACATTTTGTGTTGATTAATGTTATTGATTGACTTTTCTAAATATGAATAATCCTTCTCAGATCAGGAGGAAATTCCATCAGAAATTGTCCAGAGTTCATTTTGGAAGAAATAATGTTCAAAGATATTAACACTCGATCAAAAAGCAAATTCAACTTAGATAATATTTCTTCTGAAATAAACTTTGGACAATTTCTGATGGAATTGTTTGTAATTTGGAAAAGTTGATCAATAAAATTAATCCTCACAAAATGTCTTTTTTATATATATATATATATATATATATATATATATATATATATATGTGTGTGTGTGTGAATGTGTGTACTTCAGTTTAGAGACTAAATTGATTGGTGCAGATCTAAAAGAGAAAATTTTCTAAAATAGGGATATCATACTGTTTATAAAAGTTATTTTCTTTCCTTTTTCTATTTTTCAGAGACACATTTGTGGTGGCTAACAATAAAGGAGCTTTAACAGTTCTACACTTTCTGCTTAATAAATTGGATCCAGAGGAATGTAAAACTCGATTCAGGTACAAAATTTTGTTTTCAGATTCTCTCTCTTGATAGTAAAGAAAATGTGTTTTGATATAACCACAAAAAGCAAAATTCAAGTTAATAACAACAATTCACTAATTTACACATTCAGTACCAAATAATGTTAATTAACCTTTTTTAGCTACTGTACCTGTTAAGCACCAAACAATTTTAATTAGATTAATGTTTATTGTCCTCATACTGCTGTGACTTAATACCTGCTTTTCAGCAATCTTCTTTAGTCTCTGGGGAAATCCTTGATGTTCTATTCTTGGCCTAAACATGGGTGAAAGAAAACCATTGGGATATGAAGATATTTAGGATGGCTAAAGAAATTGTGATGTCTTCGGGGGTGGGGGGTGTTTGTTTATGGTTTTAAGTGTTATCTAAAAACCCTCTTTCTAAGATGTCTGTAAAATTCTTAAAGGTAAATATTTATGATGAAATTTCATTTTTTACACTACATCATTAGGACTGTTGTCATCGTCTTTATTGACATATTCATGATGTTTTGGCTGCTGTACGCTCTAGCTTTCTTCAGGTGATATACATTGGAATTTCAAACTCTTTATTTAGTCCACTAAATAAAGGGTTTGGTTTGAAATTCCAATGTATATTACCTGACAAAGGCTGGAGTATACAGCAGCCGAAATGTTGTGAATATAGCAATAAAGATGGTGACAACACTCTGAATGATGTAAATAGTTACAATATCTTATCTCGGAAATATAGACAGATGAAATTTCCTTGAATGCCAAGAATCAAGAGTAAGTACTCTTGATATCTTTGTATTATTGACATCAGCATTTCAAATGATTTTAAGTATGTTATTCAGTAATAAATGTCATTTGTATAAATGTTGTAAAATATCTTTTCAAATTCTAAGAAAATAACTTCATGAAATTAGGAGAAAAGTAGATATGCAGCAAATTGTGATGTTTACTTTATATGCAAGAAAAACCTTAATTCTTATCTCCAATCCAGGTTTTATTAAGACATTTAAAATAGAATTTTTATTTGTTCATTTTTAACCAATTCAAACTAGAATGATGCTTATTACTGCATGACCCATATCAATATTGATGTAACAAACTTCAAATACTGTTGTAGTGTAGGTGAACACTCCCACAAGATAGACTGGTCTAAGACTATTTAAATAGCACTTTCTCTTATTGAGCAAGAGGAGTTAATGAGGAGAAGGAGGAGAGGTGGCTTTCTCTTCTTTTCCTCTCTTGTCAAACTCTCTGCTTCCAGGTGGAGAGAAACCCAGATGAAGCTATACTGAAGAGCAGTCTCTCATTTGGGGAGGTAGACAAACCCGACCACGTGTATATGGGGGGTCTATGGGTAATTTTTGCCTGAGCCTGAGCCCATGTTAAAAAAAACTTGCCGTGTGTGTGTGTGTGTGTGGGGGGGGTAAATAGACAGGAGTTAATGATTAATTCTTTATTACATTAACCTTTTTTTTAACAGTGTACCATATTATTCTTTGGAATAAACCACTTTTTATTTACTATATGTGAGTTAACCTTTCCAATTTATGGCACAACAAATACCTAGTTTGTATGTGTATTTTCAGAGGAATTTGGCCAGTATTCGACAAAAAACAGGAGCAGAGTTTCCGGAAAGAAACTTGTAGTTGGTTAAATAAAATTGCTCTTGTAAGTATTGGATTTTTTTTCTTGTCAGTGTTAAAGAAAGTGAAAACTGGATGTTAATAGTTTCATTTCAAAGGCTTGATTGGTTTGGTTAGTGAATCTTTAAGTTGTTAAATAGCTCAAATGTACATTTACTACCCAGCACAAGTATTGAACTGATAGCCTTCAGCTAATGTAAACTTGTGCTTTGATAAGTTGACCTGTTTCACTTACAGTTAAAATGGGTTCTGCGCATTGAGTTCTGTAGAAACTTATTTTTTTTCCCCCTGGTGAGATATAAAATCTATTTGACTGGTCAAGTTATATTAACAATCTTGACATTTTCGTGTATTATATGATCTGTTTTTCCTTTAATAAAAGAAATTAGGAAGATTATTTTCTCAGAGGAAAAATATGACAAGCAATGTTTGAGTGGCTGAAAATGTAAGACGTGTAGAAATTATTATTCAAAATTTCATCATCTCATTCCATTTTTTTAAAAAATATACTGTTATTTATAACATTCTGTTAATAGTTTATAGTAAATGCTTGAATAAGTAATAAATAATATTAGAGAATGTAGTAACATAAAACTGATTCACAATTTTTTTTTCTCTCCAATTTCTGTTATAAATAAATGATTTTCTGAATATTTTTTTTTTAAAGATTTAAAAATTTATTTAAAAACTTTTTTTGTATTGAAAAATGTTTAAGCCATCTTAAAACTTCTCCCTTTGATATTTTTTTTTTTTTTTGTCAGTTTCAACTTAACAATTGATTTCCTTTTTGGTCAGTTTCTGGTAATTCTCTTATTCCTAACTATTTTCTTTTTTTGTTATTCATTCTCAAAATGACAAAATAGTAACTTTTTATGGTGGTATTTTTTAGTATACAAGATTATCTTTTTAATTTTAAAAACTGAGAAATTACCTGATCATATTTATTTTATTTATTAAAAAAGAAAGTTCCTTGATTTCTGTTTATTAATCCTATGAAGCTTTCTGTCCTGGGTAAGATGATAAACTATGTCCAACAGCAAGGCCTCTGATCAGGAGGTTTTGAGGAGCGTGGAAACTCCTCTTAATTGCTGGTGTTCCCAGCTCCACCCTAGCCTAGGGTGGTAGCACCTGTTAGGGTCCCAGCTATGGGCAGATAGTTAACCCACAAACTGGAGTCAAAACACTATGAAAGTGTAAAAATAGGTTTTAATACCAGAAATTCTTTGTAAAAAAAATTATTACCACCAATACATTTTTGAAAAAAAAAAAAAAATTACCAGCTATGCATTTAAAAAAAAAAAAAAAAAATACCAGCTATACATTTTTGAAGGAAAAAATATTACCAGCAATACATTTTTGAAAAAAGAAATATTAGCAGCTATAAAAATTTTGTTGGTATTAAATAACCCATTGGGGTTGATATGCTGTAAAACCAGACTAAGCCAAACCTATGAGGTTTTGAAATTATTAAAATTATACCATATTTCAATAATTCCTCCTATTTGTATTTTATGTATAATTGTTCTTTTCCATTCAAGTTCTTCATTTCCAAATGAATATGGATGAAATAATATCTTTAGCTATCTCTATAACTTAGAATGCAGACCAACTCTTCAAATAATATTAAATATAATTAATTTTTTTTTTCTCAAGCTTTTCTAATTTTAGGTTTTATTTATGTATTTATTTTCCTATACTTGGCAGGAAGATTCTGAAGCAAATTTTTCCCGTCTCAACCCATCATTGTTTCTCTCTCCTGGTGGTTACAGGTTTCAATTATTTCTGTTTCAATTGTCCAAATATGTCATGTTGAAGTCACTAAAAAGAGAGTGTGGTGAGTTTTCACTGATTTTGACCATAACAAAAAAATCCTTGGTACAAAATGGAACTTGTTGACGCATGTCAAATTTAAAATTAATACTCATAATTATTTCACTTTTCAATAAATATATATAGTTTTAAGGTATCCTATATTTATGAGTTAAAGTGCTCAATATGAGGGATAAATTGTATGTAAATATAAAAGTGGACATTGAAGTCAACACCCAGTGGTGACAGTCTGTTTCATGCTTAAATGCAATCTTCAGACCATATATATAAGGGTTATGACTTTTTTGTAACCCTATGTTCTTGTGTCATAAATTGATGAATGTTTGTTCAAAGGTAATAAAAGGAGCATTAATTTGTTTTAGCTCTTGAAAAAGGCCCCCCCCCCCAAAAAAAAACTGGAAATTTGATTTTACTATATACACATTAATGGTGAAAAAATGAAAATATTTCAGAAGTTTTATTTTTCATTTCGCTAATGATGTAATTGGATAATACTTATGTATTTTTAATGCATTTAGCAATTCATAGATATAGCATAACTTACAAACTTACAAAAACAAGTTCTAGAAGGCAACCAGAAAGTCATAGTACTACTATAATTATATATGATTTTTAGAAATTCTGTGTTGGGTGACATTTTTTAAAAATAAACTGATCTAAACCATTCATTATTTTTTTAACAAAAGTTCCTTGAATTATGATACAGGAATCACTTATTTTATAAAAAGTCATAACCCTTGTGTGTGTGTGTGTGCGTGTGTATATATACATATATGCATGCAAGCTTCATTAAATATGACAGACAAGGTGCTTTAAGCTTTTTATATAGTTTCTCATATGATCTTATAATTTTTTCTTTTCAATAGACAAATTATACAAAAACTGTCCAAATATTATATTTTTCCTAGTGCTTTTGGCTATACATTTAGTCATTTTCACGGATGAAATATATTAACTCTTAACTGGAAATAGATTGTGCTATGTGTGCATTTAATATTATAGAATGTTTTATTTTCGAAACACAGTCAACATATTGTGTCCATGTTCATAGTTGATATTCTTGAGTGTTTTTTTTTTTTTTTTTGTTTTTATTAATAAGCCTTCCATTATTTTTAGCCTTTTACATGTAGATGATGCTATTATATTTGTATTATTGACAAGTATGTTGCGAATAGGGTCCAGTAGTATTTAAATGAAACCTAATTGATCTATGGTCAGAAAGATGTAGCGTGAATATTGTTAAACATGTTGTGGTGTGGCCAATATAATTGTTTACGAATTTTGATTGATCAGGAACACAGGTCCTTAATGGACGTTTAAATTCATAAATAATATTTGTTCTATTTAATTTTGATCTAACAGGTGAATTATTTTTAACTATAAGATTGGCAGATTTAAATTGTTTGTAATAAATAATTAGTCTAATTTTTTTTTTCTCTTGTCTACTAGAAAATAATTATAAGATCACATGAGAAATTATAAAAAACTTAAAGCACCTTGTCTGTCATATTTAATAAAGCTTGCATGAAAGAAGGATTGCTGCCTAAATACATACATATCTATATATATATATATCTATATATATATATATATATATATATTAAAACATCTTCTGTCTGACTTTCTGGAATGCAGAGTTATTTACACCATTTACATTCAGACTATTGTCCTCATCTTTATTGGAATTTGGAATTCCTTGTAGGTTACCTGGAGGGCACAATGATCAAAATGTTTTGATGAGGACAGTTGTCTGATTGTAAATAATATTTAATTGTAAACTATATTCCACCACAAAAGGTGAAGAAAAATGTTTTCAAACCACTGTTCACCTGCACATGTGTCTGTTGGTTTTGCTTTTGTACAATAGTATCAAAGATTTTTGTATTTTTCTCAAAGAAAAATACAAAAATTAACAATTTAAATATTTTTTTAGTTAATGTCAAATTTCTTCTACGTCAACAAAATTGGTACCCATTAAAAATTCTCAAGAAGTAAAACATTAATTTTAATCCAAATTGAAAATTTTCTATTAATTTAAATGTATTTTATACAAATAGCTTTGTAGATTTAAAATATTCCTCGTTATGAATTGAAAACAGAAAGTTAGATGTAGTAATCTAATATTCCAAAGTTTTATTCTTAGGATTGACCAAAGAGAGTTATCTGCGATGTCCTGTGCTGAAGAGCCAAGCTCCACATTTAACGGAGGTTCAAGTGAAGATCCTAAAAAGTGCCACTGTTAGGCATATGCGATCTTATGTAGAGAATGTCAAACAGTCTTTACAAGTTCATAGCAAATGGCATGAACAAGTTGGGTAAGAATGGTTTTAAAATCTGCTTTTAATCAGTAATAATGTGACATATTTCTTGTGCTACATAACTAATGTCTGTATTACAGTAAAACCATCAATAAGATATTAAACATTTTTTCTTTCTAACATATTGCATAACACTTTCATATTAATGTTAGACTGTCAAGTCATCTTTTCTTTTTTGTTGACAAGATATCTTTTATTTAAGAAGAAATTCTACTGTAATCTATAAAATGAAATTTTAAAAATGTCAGTTTTATTTGCATTTATCTGTTTGACTTCTATGTCATTAATACCTTCTCCCTTGTGTTATTTACTATCTCCATTCTTAATCTTTAGAGATATGGTGAAAAACTACAGAATGTTATGCAAGAAAGTACGAGCATTCGAACGCAAAGAGAAACAAAATACAGAGGAAAAAGAGTAAGCTGTTTCTACTACATAAATTTTCTTTTTTGGAATCATGAAAATAAAATTGGCAGATGAAATTGTTGCCAGTGCAATTCAATTTTGCTGCAGGTTGAACTGAAACAAAATCTGACTGCCAAAAAAGAAAACATACTTTCTGATGTAGTTTTTTATATTTTGAATGTTTATGCATCTTGGACATCTCCATTGTGGATTTGTAACACAATGCAGTCTTGCTTGATTTTTTTTTTTTTATGTAAATGCATAATCTAAAACTTGTCTTAATTTTGTTACACTAAGGTATTTTAATCATATCTGATTGGTTCAGTCTAATTCATCTTTTGATGACATCATTTTAGCCATATATTCTCTGTTTTTTTTCTCAGTCTTCTAGAATCTTGTTGAATCTTGTTGTCAGGGATCATGCACATCTCTAAAACACATCATTTGCTTATGTCTGTGTCTTCCTAGGATTGTTTTTTTTTTTTTTTTTTTCTAATAAGCTTCAACAACATCCAAGTACCAAACTGATATGTGATGAAAGTTGGAGAGTTGTGTTTGTCTTGTTTGGTTGTCTGCATGTGGAGAACACTCTTCACAACTGAGAAGAAAAAGCTGGTGTTATATTAGTGTTCTCTCTCAGTCCTGGGCCCACGCTGACTATTGGCTAATACCTGCCTGTTGTCATTCATATGAAAATTTTGTCTGTAAGTAGAATGTCCTCTCTCAACAGCCAATTGTAGAAGAGGATGTAACTCCTGATGCTGGTTGCATCAAAACACAACCAACTCTGGATCTCTTATTGGGTTAATCCAAATTCTCTGTTACAACAGCCAAACCTCTTTTTTTTTTTTTTTTTTTTTTTTTTTTTAAAGAGAAAATAAAAAAAGTGACATTTTGACAAAACTTGTTTTATCGTTTCCTAAAAAGAAAGAGGATTGTCATTTTGGATAGAGAAGGATGTAAATCAGCCAAGCAGGCCATATGTATATATGGTTATTAGAGCTGAAATATTTTTGCTTGTCTCTCATCACCAAGTCCTACAATAATCCCCTCTCTACCCCAGTAACATCACTTCCATTTTATTTTCTACATTGCAGATACTGATTGCTAACAATTTTAAGCATTGTTTTCTTAGCATCTAAAAATTAAATGTTTATTTGTTATGTGTTTGTATAAAAGAATATAATCTTAATTTTTACAGATATTTTGTTATAGCTTAAAACTACAACTGTTATGACACACAAGTCATTTTCTGGCTCATAGGTTGTTTTTCTTTTTGAAACAAATTTTCTCAATTTTTAGACATCATCTTGTATTTCTTTATGGAAGATTTTCATCATATCCATATTGCAAATTGCAATTGTAAAGATTACCTTTAGAGACACTATATATATATATATATATATATATATATATATATATATATATATATATATATATATATGAATTAATTTTTCAGAACTGCTGAAAAATGGGATGGAGATAAACTTGTTAAGGACGAGTCACTTGAAAAAGTAAGCATCAAAATTTCAATTTTATTCTGGCAAGTAATGTATCAAAAGTTTGAATTAAGGTTCACTCATATTTTCATATATTTGAATGTATTAATATTTAAAGATGTCTTTTCATTTTGTTTCAAGCCTCACTCTACTCTGAATTTTTTCAGGGCTTATTTTATAAACAAAAAGTCAGTCTTGTTTTTTGTATTAGTTCATCTGTTGTATACAAACTCAAATAATGTTTGACATAATAACTTTAACCATGTGAAAGTTTCAAAAATTCATGTAGGAATTTTAAGAAATGCATCTTCTAAATAGTAAAAATAAATGATGACAAAAAACATTTAATATTATACTTGCCTTGTGTTAATGTTTAAAAACTTTGTTGAATCAATTGATTGTAAATGATAATACTGCTAAGTGACCTTTATAATGTGAATTGCTACTTCCTAATCAAAATATCCTTTACTGTTATTTTATTCTTTTTTTTGTGTTACTAGGTGAGAGAGGATTGGCTGAAATTTAGGAAGACAATAGACTCGCAAAATGAAGAATGTGAAATTATTAAATCCATTTTGCAAAACCTTGCCAGTCATTACAAGATAGACCTTAAGCTGATCAATGCTCGTATTCCAGATTTACTGCTTCGTGTGCAGGAACACCAGATTCAAGAGGTGAGTCTTTGATCAAAAGGACAAAGGGATTTTTTTCTTTTACCTGATATAACAAACATTTCCTCTAATAACTAAACATTATGAATCTGTTACTTAGGTGCCACCATGGTGTTTAATTTTTTTTTTTTTTTTTTTTTTTTTTTTAACATTGTGATAATTTAAATAGCTTCTTTTTAAGTATAGAAGCCTAAAAATAACTGTTTTCTTTGTGAGTAAACACCATAGTTAATCAAGAAGGTAATAAAACAAATATTTAACAATCCTTCCATACTTCAACTGCAAAATATCAAGATTTAAAAAAAGGTTTTCTTTTTTAAAAAAAAAATAAATGTATTGTCCATTGGATTTTGTTAAACTTTACATTCCTTTTTACATTGTTTGTACTATTGTCTTCATGTTTACTGTTACATTCATGACATTTCAGCAATTTTATGCTCTGGCCTTCATTGGGTGATATTTGTTGAAAATTCAACCCAAACCAGTTATTTAGTGTACAGGGGTTAATTGTTCTAATTCCATGTACTGCGCCTTTGGCTATCTTGGTTTTAGTTAATTTATCTTGATAACTCTCCAAGTTTTTGTTCTCTTTGCTGAAGCCAGGGATTGAACCCACAACTCTTTGAATCAATCAACCAACACTTTTATCTCACTGGGCTATGTTTCCTTGGGGACAATGTAAATAGTTACCTCATACCTTATCTCTGAAATATAGACAAATCTTTACATTTCTTAATTATAAACTCACCATTATTATTTAAGAACATTTCAGAAATGTCCACATTGTATAATAGTAAATTAGGTACCTCCACTTTTTTGGTATACTTAAGGTTAAAATGAATTTTCATAAATGACAAATTTTTCTTGAAGCTTTCATTTTAGCTTTAATTGAAAGCTAAAGGATTAAATTTACTATTTCCAGTAATCAAAATACTCTAGTGTATTTCAAACAAATTCTTTTGGTTGGATTCAATTCATATTTTGGGGACTAAAAATAGCTGATAGTGCCCTTTTTTTTTTAGCCATCTGTCATTGCAATGAATTTTTCTTTATTATTTTTAATAAGACTGAGACTTTAATTGATGAATATTAGTTGATTTAAAGTATAATTAATCTGATTTGAAACAAATGTTATTTACTTTAAGTTTAAAATAACAGAGAAATAGATTTTTTAAAACAAACTGTAGCGGTGATTAAGTGCTTGTCAAGGCTTATAAATCATTTGTCAAGTGCTTCAGAAGCAGCTGTCAAGCAATTGACGAGGTGTGATCATGTTCTACGGATACTTTATCTGTTAAAACATAATTTGAGAAAATGACGGGTGAATGCTATTTTTATATAGTTTTTAAGTACCCAGTAATCTTAAAAATCTTACAAATGTTCTCCATAATCTAATTTTAAGAATTTTTAAATTTAATATCATCATCAGCCTTATTTTCTGATAAGGTGTATGGTCACCCATACTTTCAAAATGGGAATGTTTATACACATAAAAATTAACTCAAAATTATTTTTAAAATCTTGGTGTGTGATGCTTTGTATTAAACTTTTCAATTTTCATTTCATAGTCTTCACTGAATAATTTAATAATTAATAACCTAATTAAGAGGCATTTTTGTAGAATTTTTACAAGATTTTTGAAACTTTATAAATTATTATAATTAAAAAAAAAAAAAAAATGAAATTCTTGTAAAAATTATTACTCAGTGAAAATTTTTTTCTTTATACTATAATGTCCTTAATATATTTTACTTATAAAAGCAATTCAAAGTTTATCTAATTAAATAATGTCATAGTTTTATTGCAGTTTTTATTTTATGATTCAGAGCAGATTTTTGGGAACAAAGTAACTGTTTGAAAAAAAAAAAAAAATAAATGAATGATTTATGTTCTCCAAGGAGTCTTGTGTTTAACTAATAGAACAAATTTAGAAATTTATTTCGGGTTAACCGATGTAAAAAAAAAAAAAAAGAATTTTACCAAGATTTTCTAAAAAATAATGTCAAAAATAAATTCATTCATTTGTGAATAAATCCTGACAGTTTCATTAAAATCTGACAATTATTTGATTTTTGCAAGAATTTCCAATTTGTGCTATTTTGTTGGAAAAAGGTGCAAAAATTTCTGTAACCAGCTCTGTTACACCATTGATTCATAAAAAAAAAAAGATTTTTAACCACAATTTTGAATGCATTAGAAGGGAGTAAAAAATTTAAAAAAATAACTAAAAAGATACTTTGGTCTTTCCTTTTTAATAATAACAAACATTTTGATGATAAAACTTTGTTTTTATTGTTTATTATGGCCTTTATTCATTATGGTATGCTTTTTTTCAACAATTAGTGGAGGTATTATAATAAACTAATAATTTTAAAACATTAACTGAAAATTAATGATTAATTTAATTAAATATATGATGATAAATATTTTAAAAAAATTATTTTTCTTTCACAACATCTGTTATCTTAAATGTCGTATTCTTTTAAAGCATAGGTGATCATGGCTCTCCACAACTTTTTTTCTTTACTATCCCCCTTAGTTTCTGTTCTGCTATCATTTTGTTTAAACTTGTTAAATGTTATTTGCTGTTTCTCTACCTGCTTCCCTTGCCTTCACTATGTCCTGTGTGTGTTAAATTCTCCCAGATCTCTTTCTACATTATGTATCCCAATTGTCTTTTCTGATTCTTAGTATCAATCACTTTGTAGTTTTTATTCTCTTTAAAATTTTCATTTATTGTATACTTCATAATATTCTCTATGTACCTTTAGATTTCTGTCACCCTTTTGTCTGTTACTACACAATCCACATAGTTACATTTCTTATTTATACTGTAAAAATTTAATTATCTGGATAGTATTATATCATATAATGTACTTTTTTATTTTTTAACTATTATTTGAAAAAAAAAAAAAAAAAATTTCCCAACAAAATATTTTCGTTTTAGTGGAAGTTTTTATTTTCTCATACAGGACATTTTTTTTTTTTTTTTTTTTTCAGCATCTTGTAAAGTTTTGAATAAATTTTATTGAAATTTGCTAATTTCAAATTTTTTTTTCACTTGTAAATTTTAAGTCAAGATTTAGTTTGCTTGCAAATATTCCATTACATTGTTTCTACAGGTAAATGATTTTTTTTTTTTTTTTTTTTTTTTCCCATGTGTAAGCATCTCTTTAGAAACATCTCCAGTTCTTCTGTATAGCAGGCATAACTTTTTATATTGGAATTTTCTTCAATATTTCTTTCAAATGAAAAATATATTATTTATCAGGTGTTTTTTATTAATAAGTTACCTTGTTTTCAAAATTGCATGATAGTACCTTAAGTGTTATATTCAGTTGGTTGTGAATTTCATTAATTTTGTGCCTCTCTCATCTGATTTCTTTATCTTCAAGAATCTTGTTACATTTAAAAAATTTTTTTTTTAATATTTTTTAGCGACAAATTGACAATCTGTACAAAGAAGGAAAACTAAATCTCGTCAGGTCAGTTGATTTATCATTTTAGATTGAGGATATTTTGTTGCAATAGACAAAGATTAAAAATGCTTATTTTTTTTAATTATGCATAGAATATTAATTCTATTATACAAATTGGCCCTTTTCATTTGTCTATATTTATTAATGTGATAAATTTCAAGTAAAGACTTATCTCCCTTGCATTCTCTCTTTCAGCGTGTAGTTAAGATGAGGTGAAGAGTAGAAATCTATTCTCTGTTCTCATTTCTCTTTTTATGCATTTATGACAAGAAAATTTGATCATATCAAGAACAATTTTTTTTTTTTTTTTCATCTAGTCACCTAATATATATATATATATATATATATATATATATATATATATATATATATATATATATATTTTTGAAATTTGTTTTGTGAATTTCTTTTTTGCTTTCTTTTTCAGTTTAGTTCAGTTGTTAAATCTTTCTCTTGAGATGTATTATGAAAAATTTAAATCTGGTAAGTAAATGTCAATTGGAATGTGTTTGGTTTTTTTTTCTTTTTTTTTTTTTTATAGACTTTCTGTAGTTTCCATCTTCATTATTATCATAATGATTTCTTAATTCATTTTTTAAAAGGCAGTCAGACACTTGATTAATTTTTAAATGTGTGTGGATAATTTTTAACTTGTCTCCATTGTTATTCTCTCACAATCTATGTCAATAGTGTTTTTTATTCTAGGATTATTTCTTCAAGTTTCATATTATTGTTAGTATCCTTAATAATCATAGACAATAAATTTGCATGTATTGGGGGAATGATACTCTATTTCAAAAAAAACAAAAAAAGACTCTACTGTAGTCAGGATCATTGAGTCAGTGTGAATGATCCTTTACTTAACTGCATAGTATGTGGTTTTGAATTCAGTTTTCTTTCTGCGGTAGATTGGTTGCCATCCAAGGCAATAGAACCCAGTCAATCCTGCTATTTATCCATAGCTGGGGAGAGAAGAGTTGGATTCATACCTTTCCCAAGGTTCTTAGCATGTAAGTGAATGTAATGAACTCTATTGGAAACCATTACACTCTACTGTGATCCTATTCTATTAAACTTTGTGAACATTACTATTTTACAAACAATTATAGGGACCTTGTTTTTCTCCAACATAAATTAGGGTATCTTGCAGCTTTGTCCAGATGATGAATATCAAATATCACAGTAGAAGGTTGGGGAGAACAAACAAACTATCATAAACAATTGTCTTTACCCATTGACTCCAACTGCGAATATATTGTGTTTAACAACTACATAAATCACATACGGGGCCAGAGTCAAATTAGATTGCATAATAAAATCAGCCAGATGATTTTCTACTATACAGGATTTTTACTATTTACCAAATATCAACATTTTAGCAAAAATGCTATCCTTTCTATAAATTTAATATTTTAATATTTATTTATTTAAAAAAAAATTTTTTTAATCTTTAAGAAATCTCATTTTTAAATTTCTATAAAGAATAAAATAAATAAAAGAACAACATTAGGAATATTAATTTTTCAATGAATTGTTTTTTTTTTTTTCAATTTCAATCAGAAAAGATTGATTTGAATTTTTGGTTGTTTTTCACCACTCATTAATGTTACCATGCATTTGTCATCATTCATACACTGGAATGATTTTTGTGTGTTTTCTTATAGAGAATTTAATGCTTATTTATGTTTTCTATTTTACCATCAATTTTCCCAAAATCTTAGTTGCTAATTTGGATTGTCTGCTGATGGAGAAGCATTTTACTTGTTCTTGTCATGATATCCTTTAATGTTTGTAGCTTGCAATTTTTAATCTTTTAATAAGAAAAGAAAATTTAAAAAGTTGAAGTTGTAAACACATCTCTCTCTCTCTCTCTCTCTCTGTTGAAAAAAAATGAAATTAAAGAAAGCAAAGAAAAGCTGATTTTTATTTTATTTATTTTTAATCCTAAGCTGTCCTTCCTACTCCAAAAGAGAACATTGCTCCACTGCAACAAAAGTCAGGCACACATTCTAACCTTCTACAGAATATGCAGACACTCAGGTAATTAAATTTACATTTCACAATTTTCAATAATAAATCCTCATCAGTTCCATTCAAATTTATGATACTTTCATGCCAGTAAGTAAGTTTGGGGTCATGTTTTAAATTAACCATTCAAGACCTGTATTGGGATTAAACATTTAAAAAAAATACTTTTGGGAGTTTCTCTTTTAAATTTTCTTTCTTTTACTTTTTGTAGAGAAAATATGAAGGAACAATTGCATTTACTGAAAACTTCCGTTCAAAAATCTGCAGAGAAGGCAGAAAAAAAAGCCATTGAACAAAAATTGTTGGTAAGTGCTTTTATTTTTCTCTTTTCTACAAAACTTTATTATCAAAGTAATGAAATGATTTCTATTTATGATTTAAATCTCAAAATAAATTTCTGCAAAGTTATGCAAGATTTGGTTTGTTATACTAATGGTCTGTATTATTCTATTTATTAGTCTCTCTAGGAACAGCAAGGGTAAAAAAAAAAATCACCAGTATTTTGATTGAATGGGGGGGGGATTTCTCTCATATATTCATGTGGAACAAAACCAAAATTGTCTTGGTTCTTCAGTTTTGCTTTTGACAATGCTACAGCCATTAAGGGATCATCTTGATCCTTATCTGTTTGTAATAGGAAGGTGCTACCTGAAAAGAGAGTGGATTTCCTTGAATCCAATTTTTTTTTTTGCTTTTGCGGTAGTGGGAAACTCTTGTGTCAGCTATTGTACAAAAATATTCTGAAACCTGTGTACTCTATTTTTGTACCCTGCTAACCTTGCCAAATAACCTTGCCAAATAATGTTCAGGTGTTGTGCACCATGCAGATTGGTTTTTAAATTTCAACTCTCATCATTATCATTAGGACCCACTAAAATTTTTTGTTTTTGCTTTCTTAGCATTCACAACTGGCCAACATGCAGAGTGAATCAGAGATCTAATTTGAAGCTGAGTATAACAGCTCCCAATCTGATTCTTAGGTAGCGAGTGGCTATGAGCAGAAAGGATGTTATGTACTTAAGTTGATTTGCTGTGTTTATTCTGTTGATATTTGTGTATGATAAAGTCTTTGAAGTGTGTTGGGAGTTGTCTATATGTTTGTCTTGGATAATGTTTGAGTGGTTTTACCAGATCAGGAGTCTTGTTTTTATGTGATCTCCAGATAGAAATGGAAGTGGCGACTTCAATGCTGGTTTCTGCAAACACACAGGAGAGGGAATGTTTGTGTATTGCACATGATTCAGTCGCAGTAGGAGGCAACATGATGGGCCCAGTCGGTTTTGCCATTTTCGTTTCTCGCATTTGTCTTGGTGACTTCAAAGTTACCTGCTCGAGTTAAAGGGAATGAGTGGGCTATGGTTGATTGAGGTCAATGTTGTAAAACCATGTCTCCAATCTTTATCAAGTCTTTGTAGACAAGCTGGCTTAGTTTTTTTTTTTTTTTTTTTTTTTAGCAAAACTATGTGCAAAAAAAAATTCAACTTTTGTCTTTGTTTCCATATCAGTTATGATACATTTCAAACACACTTTTTTGTATTTGTAGTAAAGATTCTATTGAATTAAAGTAAATAAAGTTTTTATCCAAAATACAAAAACAAATCAGTTATGATCCAAAACCTCAGAAAACTAGAAAAATCTTTTTTTTTTCTTTTCATTTTTTAATTTTTATTTTATAATTTGATCTGTAAATTATTGCAATTATCTCAAATTCTCTAGTGTCAATGAGTGAGGATTTTGTGATTTTTATCAGAAATATTTGTCAATTTCTTAGTTCTTGCTTCATCCCTTTTATTGTATTTGTTAACCTCTATCACCTACACTATTAAATATGCAGTTTTGTCCATTATAAATTGTAGAAACAAAACTTAGATGACACCTTTTATTTTAACATGTTTTAAGTTTCACATATGTAGCGTTTACTGTTGAGGAATTTGAGCATGACTGAATTTGCTATTTATATAAATTTATAATATTATAATTTATTTCATTTGAATTATAAATACCCTATAAAGAAAATAAATATGTCTTTGGTGTTGTAGTATGAATGTAAATTTCTGAAGTTTGTACTAACACAAAACTTAAGCAAATTTAACCCTAATTCTGCCTTTTTAAATATGGATATTTCCAAAAGGATATAAATCCAGGGAGAGCTTTGTCAGAAACAGAGCAATAATTATCATTTATAAAAGGCACAAACACTAAAATTTCATGGGGTTATATTTATTTCATTAGGGTTGTAAATATGGCCCCAATTCATCAGATCTTTAAATCCAAAAGGAAACAGAAAATATTTCTCCAAGTGTTAAAAAAAAAAAAAAAATCATGTGAAAGTCTGGGAAAAGTTGGAAAGAAAGATGCATAAGTAAGATTGAGAGAGAGAGAGAGAGGGGTGGAAATAAACACATAGAAAGAAAGACAGGTAAAAAAGGGTATGTGAGATTGTGGAAGGGGAAGATGATGAAATTATTCAGAGAGAGAGAGAGGAGGTAATATAGAAAATTTAAAAAATATTTAGATTGAGATGAATAGAAGTTTTTTTCATTTGAAAAAAATGACTTGCAACTTGTTGACCTAATTTAAAATACAGACTACGGAAAACATGGATACATCAATTGTGACAGTTAAAGACACATGAAAGGGGAAAAAAGAGAAAAAGAACCAAGAAAGGAAATGTATACATTAAAAAGAGAGAAAAAAGGCCTTTAATATCAAAGATAATGTGTAGTTAAGAATTTGCTGAACAATCATGTAATATTCTTGTAAAGATTTCAAATTTAACATAAAAATACAATCCATTAAAAAAATGCATATAATATATATATATATATATATATATATATATATACGCACACATCTATCTAGAAAAGAAAAGGGTAAAATTTTCCTTAATATAGTTATAAAATTACTGAAGATATTCTTAAAACCAAGTATAGTAATAATAAATAATAATAAATATAGAGAAAATAAGATAAAAAAATAATGGCATTACAAATGTACCTATCTACTTTCATATAAGCATACATATATAAAGGATGTGTGTGTGTGTGTGTGTGAGAGAATATATAGTGTGTGTATGTATATATATATATATATATATATATATATATATATTAGTAATTGAACGTGTAAAATATTTTATCCAGATTTGAGGCCACAAGCTATATAATATTAAAATAAAAAGTTATATACTTTTTATTTTGATATTATATAGCGTGTGGCCACAAATCTGAATAAAATTATATTTTATACGTTCAATTATTAACATATACATAGCAATGATAACACTTACAATTAAAACATAAGGAGTCTAATTAGGCAAACAACGCAATAAACACATCACCCACAAATAATTTACATACAAGTACATAAATAATGGTTCATATATATATATATATATATATACACACACACACATGCACCAATACATATACATACATACATACACATGTATATAAGTACACTATAAATAACAAACATATACGTTTATGGCAAAAAGCACAATAACTCCAAACACACACAAAAACTCTCATACATATATATAAATCATATACCCAAGTCTGCCAAACTATATACGCACACACATATCCATAAACCCCCATACATATACAAACATACACATTCATATATGTATACACATATTACAACAGTACACACACACACACACACACACATATATATATATATATATAAAAAACCATATGTAAAGACATCCATATACATATACATCTATCTTTTTGAACACCCCTTTTTATATATATTTAATTTCACAAATAAGCCAACACCACCTGTATACAAAAACACACACACACACACACACACACACACACACATATATATATATATATATATATATATATATATATATATATATGGTTCGATGTATAAAATGTTGCATAAATGATGCAAAAATTTATGACATTTTATTTTCCAAAATTACAAAAAAGATCTTGAAATCTAGAGTAAATTTATTCAATAATTATTATTCGTCGATGATATTAAAAGCAGTTTTATTGGTCTCTTGCTCAACTGTTCCCCACATATAATAATCAAGAGACTTGTAGTCTGGAGAGTTAGGTGGCCAGATGTAACGGGTGATGTGTTTGCAGAAATTGTCTGTCAGCCATGAGTAGGTTCTCCTGCTTATGTGGCATGGTGCAGAGTCCTGTTGCCAGACATAGTGTCTTCTAGTAGCTACCCTTTTGACTTAGGGTAGCTAGGCACTTGATGTAGGCCTCTATGTTGAGTCTTAGGTCAACACCAACAAATTTGAGAGTTTTCTTCTCATCAGAATGATCAGAGTGAGTTTTCATAGTTGCTGTACCTTTGTAATCACCATTAGATTCATCAAACTCTTTCTGAATCTTCTGCACTGTCTTCAGGTTGACACCCAAACATTCTGAAATGTTCATGTTGGTGCTTCCAGTGTGAATGCTAAGTAGTACAGCATGCAGTTTCCAAATTTCTGATAGCATGAATTGCGTCATAGTGCTCTTTTTCTCACAGACGGTGCCCAACTGACGCTACTATACTGTGCAGTTGACGAAATCAAAACAAACAACGCACATGTGCAAAATTAAAAATATAAAAATGGCGACAATTTACCCATCGCACCTGTGTGTGTGTGTGTGTGTGTGTATATATATATATATATATATATATATATATATATATATATATATATATATATAAAATGCACCGATGTTTCTTGGAGTGGCAACATGCTTTGAGACACTATAGAGCCTTAAACTCACACCTGACCTCAAGTGGAACTTGTGTATATGAGTCATCGTTAAAGATGAAGGTAAAATGGTTGGCTTTTCTGTTCTGCTCCAGTAAGTACCTGACTCCATGTGTTATCCTGTACCCTTACAAGAGCCAGATCAGGCCAAAAATGGAGTCCTGTTGTCATATTTGGTTGGGAGCTGCCCTGACTGTACTTTCAGCCTTGATTGTCCAAAAGTGTTTCAAAGTCCTTGCAGGTGACATTATTTTCCACTCTGCAACCTCTTTCACAGGTGGGATTTGGCAAGCCTCTTGCTGCTCTATTGCTACTTTCATGGAAACTACATCTCCCTGGTTTTCAAACCTTCATGGCAAGGACATGCCACTTACATTGTAGGAAACCACTGTTATAGACAAGCGTGACGTCTGTGTCGAAGGAAGAAATGGTACAATCCGCGGGCGGCATCGATAGCACGATCTCTCGCGCATGGTATGGCTGTAAAGTGTCAGCTGAAGCTATCCAAGATGGTTAGGATGTAGCGTTTTCCCTTTGAGTTGGGCATTGTGACAAAGTCTATAAAGACTAGATCGAATGGTCTTTTTTCCTCATTTGCAGTGGCCAATGGGCCAGTGGGTACATCTACCAGAGTTGCCCTTGCACTTAGCACACATGTCGCAAGAATCACATAGGCCTTGATGTCGCAGTTTTTGAATTCCACCAGTAGCTGGAAAGGAGTTCTGACACGAAAGTGACACCTGAGTGGTTGTTGCCCTCGTGTGCCTGGTAGAGGTATCTGGGTCGTAGTTTGTATGGTACAACGAATCTCGGAGAGTGTTTACTGTCTCTTATCATCAAAACGGAGGTGCCTGGTTCTAGAAAAAATTGGTGCAAATGTTTTTTGAAAAGCGTAGCTCGGTGGTCGCCAGGATCGATATGAGGTTCGCTTGGAGTGGGTGACTGGAGGGCGCTGATGATCTTTGCCAGGGCGTCATCCTTCTGTTGTTCATCTCATGATGCGAGGTGGTTGCAGATTCTCTCAGTGGGGATGGTGGTGGTGGAGTGATAGGCGAAGAATGTGTTGGTGATGCGCTTGTGGGTGCGGGCGTTTTGTGGTGTGTGAGTTTTGGGAATGAGCTGTAAACCGTTAAACTCGCGCCGAGGCACCAAGATGGGATGTATACTGGGAGGAGGTCTGAACCGCTTACCTCGAATGTCCTGCCTGCGGTGTAGGGTCGTTCGGGGCTTTCGTTTTCTTATGTCCGCAGCCTCTGCTGAGCATGTCAGCCCATACATTTGATTCGCCTTCAACATATTCCAAGACGAATTTATAACATGAAATTTCTTCTTGCCATCGTCGTATCTTGGCATTATTGAACTCTCATTGGTCCAGATATGTCAGCGATCTGTGGTCGGTGAAGATGACGAAGGGGCGGTTGCGAAGGAAATGATCAAATTTCAATATTGCCCACTTTATTGCATATGCCTCTCGTTCCGTCGTGGACCAGTTCTGTTCTGTGAAGTTGAATGCATGGGAAGCGACCGCTATGATATCTTTCTTCCCGTTGTTGGAAGTTTAGAGAAATCTGGAAATGAGATGACTGGTGGCGAAGAGAGACAGTCCTTGATTTTTTTTTTTTTTTTTGAAGGCTCTGTCAGCATTTTGCGTCCAGACAAACGGTTTATTAACCTTGTTGAGTTCGTGTATGGGACCCATAAGTTTTGAAAACATATCTGACCTGATTTGTTCGTGAAGACGTGTCTCTAGGAACTGTCTGATCCACACTAAACAGCCGATAAGGCTTTGTAATTCCTTTTTTGATGTTGGAGGTTTCATTTCCCTGATGGCACGAACGTATTCTGGATCAGCCTTGAATCCTTCGCTGTTTACTATGCGTCCGAGGATTTTTTCCTCTGACGCGAGGAAGGAACACTTATCAGGATTCAGCTTGAGTCTGAATTTTCGGAGGGCAGTAAAAAATTGTTTGAGTGAGAGTATGTACTCCCTAAATGTCCTAGCGTGGACCAGGTTGTCGTCGATATAGGAAGAAATGTTGTCATGGTATGTGACCATGGCTAGGGCTTCTGCTATGCAACGGGAGAAGATTTGTCCGACAGATGTAAGGCCGAAGGCCAGGCGCATGTATTGATAGCATTGGTCCTTCCATGTAAATGCTGTTTTGTATCGGTCTCGCTTGTCGATCTCAATTTACCAGTAGCCGCTGCGTAGATCAAGGGTAGTAAAATATCTATTGCCTTTGCCGATTTTGTTGAACAAGTGGTCGATCCTTGGCATTGGGTAAGAGTCAAGATTGACCAAGACCTTGTTGAGAGTTCTTTTAAAGTTAGCAACGACATGAATCGATCCATTTTTCTTGCGTACGGCAAATACAGGGCTATTGAAGCCTTTGGGGTCGCTGCAGTTTTCAATGATACCTTCATCAGCCATACGCTTAATTTCGGTATCACGTCTGCTTCCAAAGCCTGGGCTATCGGGTGTTGTTTCTGGCTGCGAGACTGGCCGTTGGTTGGTATCGCGGATGGGTCGGATGAATGTGCCTTTGCTGCTGCTTTTCGGTGCCGATAATGTCAGCGAGTTTAATGAGTAAGTTTGCAGTGGCCTCTAGTTTGTCTCGGTTTGGGTGGTTTGGTAGCGATAACCCCGTGTTATGCTTTAGCCAGGTTAGCTTTTGATCCAGTGTCTGGATGTTGGGCTGTAGTTCCATAGTAGGCTGATGTCAGCTTGGGTGCCATATGCTGGATCGTTGGTTGACGGTGATATGATTGCGGCTGTGTGTGTTGTATATCCTGAGGAAAGTGTCTGAATTCTATAGTCGCATTTTGGTTGTCGATTGGATAGGAATCGAGCATGTTGTGACGTAGGATATTTTGGCCGATCAGGATTGGTGTGGTTTGGGTAGTTACCAGCACGTTAACCTTTTTGAATGTGGGTGAGTCTCGACTGCCGATGGTGATGTCGCAAGTCAGTTCACCGAGGGCGGTGGTGCTGCCATTGATTCCTTTCACTACGACGTCAAAGCGGGTCATGAGTTTCTAGGCTTCTCTGGGTAACTGAGATATTAGCATTGCGACGCCAGAGAAGGTGATGTCCCTGAAGTTGAAGGTGGACTGGACGAGCGGTGAATGGTGAGCGAGTCCTTGACAGTTGAAGGTGTGATGGCTGACGTAGGGGTATGGTGAACGAGGCATCACATCTCGTCCTGCCTGAAGCGAAAATCCTGTTCCACATCATTTATGGCTTGTATATTATCATTCGTTGCGGCGATATGGGCCTGTGCCCGAGTGCGAGGTGGGTGGCGATATACACAGTTGCGTCCATGGTGGTAGGGGCGACCTCTGAGGTAGTTCTGCACACGCTGATTTGTGGTGTGTGCTGATGGTTTCTGCGTGTCGGATGGTGGCCATGTTCAGGAGGGTTGGTGAGGCCCGTCTGCTGTGGGTTTGGTTGCCTGCTGGGTCGGAGTGGCGCATTTCTTTGGTTTGACCGCTGTGGTTTCTGTGTGAAATACACAGTGTCGTGCGAAGTCGTTCGTTGGATTTTACACCGCGATCAAGGTATATTTGAGCTTCGGAGGCTATGCCAATGGCTGAATAGTGGTTGTCCATTGTCTTGAGGAGATGTGGGTAGAGATTTGAGTTCCAAATTTTCACCTTTTCGCTCATTAGCATAGCGCCGATGATGGAAATAAGTCCATCGACTGTTAAGTCTGTATTTTTGTTTTTTATGTGGACGGCTGCCTCTCTAAGGGTGTTTTCAAATCAACCTGCGAAGTCTTTTAATTTTTCGCCATCTCGCCATTCCACGTCCCAGGCTTGACTGAGGTGTTGGAAGTTAGTCATCTGGCTTCCGTGGGCTCCTAATAAGTATTCCTTCAGTTGTTCGAAGGTGGATATGTCCTTTTTTGTGTCAACCATCTGCTGAAAAATACTTTGGTCCAGTAAATCTTTAGCAGACTTGACGAATTCGCATTCCAGGCTGGGATAGGTGCTGAGTTCTGGCACTACGTGGATTGTGTATGCTTTGTTTAGGGTCGTGATGAATCGGTTCACGTCGTGTCCAGGGTGAAAAGTTTTCTCTAGCTTCAATATGTCGCGTATAGTTTGTTGGCGCATCATTAAGCTGTAATCGCCGTTTGTTTGAGCGGTGGGAGGTGTTGAAGTAGTTGATTTTAGGGCAGTCAGCATGTCGTTTATGTCGGCTTGAATTTCCTGTATCGTGGCTTCAGAAGGCTGTGTTGGTCCCGTTTTCAAGTTGAATAGTAGTATTTTCTGTTCCTTGATGAGAGTAAATAGTTCAGCTCGGGTGAAGCTCATGTAGTCGGCCATATTTCTCTTGCTGTACGCTTCTGACACCAGTGTTATAGATAAGCGTATGGTTGCAAGAAAGAAATACGACAACAGCAGAAATAGATTTACGTGGTTTATTTCAACAGGAACGTGAGGGTTTTGGACAGCTACCTTGGTGTGGTAAAGTTCATAAGCCGGCTTTCGGATCTGGTCGATCTCTCATAGTAGTTCACACATGTTGACGGTGGTTGACGCTCCCCTGCTGTCAGCAGCTGGACGTGACAGGTCTCTATCCTGGGCACCTGTGGACTGACTGTTGAACTTCCGTGTGACCCCTTTATGGATTTTTTTTTTTTTTTTTTTTTTTTTTTTTTTTGCTTAACAGGCTCGAGAAAATGAAGTTTAGTATGATTAGGAGGGAAGCATTTTTATTGGACAAAAATAGAGCACTTTAAATATTATTTTATTTTTTCGACTGGAACACGTGTGTCGGATACATTTGTAAAGAAAGTTAATGGTCATTTTGTGACGGGGCTTTGTCTCATTCACATCGGTTCTCGCTCTTGAGTATTTGCCTGTAAATCACGAGATATGTCTTATTTTATTTTATAACACCACTCACATTCCTTCCATATTCCATTGGTGAGAGTTAAGTTTCACTTGAACAGCTTCTTCCCATGAACCACTGCTCTTTGGAACTGACTTCTAAGAGGATGTTTTCCTGATCACTACAATCTTAACCTGTTTAAGTTTAGGGTTAACTGTTATCTTCCTCTCCTATTTGTAAAAACTACCTCCTAACATAACCCTTTACCTCTAATGGCCCCTGGGTCTGGTACAGTGTGTACCTTTCTGTTAAAAAAAAAATATATACACAACCATATTGAATGGATTCAAATTATTGCTGTCAATGTGGACATTATGATACCTGATAACACTCTATGTATTACTAGTACAGCTGCTAGTAATATTGTTGTTTTCTTTATTCATTTGTCAAGTTGAATAAAATATCTCTAACTCCAACAGTTTTAATGTATGTATTTGTTTCTTTTCCAATTTAGCCCTTGGAATTCACCCTTAATGCTCCAACTCCACCAAGGAATTTCCAGCTGCTTTGTGATCGGTCAGTTCCTGTAGATTCACCTTTGTCTGATCGACGATTACCTACTGAAGAAAGTGAGTTATATTAATTAAACCAAACTATAAAAAGTAAAAAAAAAAAAAAAAAAATGCAAAAAACCCCAGAAAATAATGGATTGGTTACCATGTCTAACAATTTCATTTTCATGTTTGGAAGATATGAATATAGCATAGATATTTGGTGAGCTTAGCATCATCCTATTATTCTGTTTTGATTGCATGAGAAGACAAAAGATATGAAAGATGCTACTTGGTTTCAGTCAGAAGATAAAAGGAAGATAGAAGTGTTTAACGTCTGTTTCAGTGAAATAGAAAAAGTTATCAATTTCAAATCTTTTTATTTGTATCCCCTTACATCTTAAAATAACGACCAGCATTCATATTTATGATTGTTGTTACAATATTTTGTTAAAGTTGTTAAATTCAAATATTTAATGATGCAATAGGGGAATTTCTGTGGATATTTTATTGTCACCATGAGCTTCTTCAATCATTAACTGAAGAACTAACATGCATCAGAAATTTTAAATAGGAAAACTGAAATTTTCACTGGTTAGAACTTGTGTGTGTATATATATATATATATATATATATATATATATATATATAAAATTTGTAAGTATAATAAACAGTAACTTGATTCCCCCTGCCCCTTGTTTTTTATTGTGGTAGTTATTATTGGAGAGTAATTCAGGACAGTTTGTAGCTAGTGAGAAAGGCAATAACAGCAGCAATGATTCTCCTCTTGAAGTGGCTGAGATATTTTACTTTTATATCACCACACCACAAATATCCTCATCAGAAACAGTTAAAGCTTTGTATTTAATTTTTGAGAGTATATAGTTTTAGTAATAGTCTGTTGATACTGATGAATTTTATTTCTGATAGCAATATTTCATTCATCCCCCCCCCCGCAGGTCAATATACTGTCATATTCTGTAGTTTTATAAATAAGCTGATTGGCAAATATTTGACATAATTTTTATATTTGTTTTTCACATTCTTGGTATTTTCAAAAATTGTTTATCATGTTCTTGACATTTTCTTTTTAAATATTAGAAATCAGTTTTTTCTTTTAACATTCTCTGCTTTGTTAACCCAAAAGATAATTTGTTTGCTTACAAATCATATTACAATTATTCTTGTTTGTTTGCATTTAAAACACAAGGCAGTTAGGATACTTGTTTAATTCTCCTGTTCATAAAAGAAATATTTGTTTTAATACAAGAAAAAATGAAAGTGCTTGCTATTTGAGATTTCTGTTGTTTTTTTTTTTTCCTTTGTTTTCTCCATGTTGAAATCATTTCTTGATTATACAAGTTTTTTTTTTTTTTTTCCTTTTCAAGTTGATACCCCTGAGGCTGCCAAAAAGATTCAAATGGCTGCCAAGGAAAGTGCTTTGAAGATGAAAGATCAGAAAAAAGTCCATAGTGATTCACTTCAACATCAACTGAGGTAACATTCTTAAAAGGACTTAAAATCAGTATCCACCACCCACTTTTTTTTTTATTATTTTTTTTTTTTTTAATGTTTTACAGATATTTAAAAAAAAAATAAAAATGGTGTATTGGTGGTGGAGTAACTGGTATTCTCAAATAAAAAACAAATTTTTATAAAGATTATTGAATGTTGTTTTGTTGCCTTAATTTTCTTTTAAATTAAAAACTTAAACTTTTTCATAGCACAAAAAAAAACAATTGGACATTGTTATTTTATTTTTTTAATTTTATTTTTAAAAATTTTTTTTTATTTTAGCTTGCTTTCTCCGGTAGATGTTTGTGTAGAGAAAAAAAACAAGTTGCCTATAAAAGTTAGTGGATGTTTGTCAGAGAATAAGGACAGTTTTGATTCTACACCACAAATTCGAAACCACAAATCCTTGGATAAGGCTTCATTAAGGATGCAAGTAAGTGATGGATTTCTATTTAAAAAGTTTACACCTAAGTGAAATAGGATTAAATATTGGATTACAAAATAGTCATTGCTCAGATTATATGAGATTGAAATTTGTTATGGAAAGGTATTTCAAGTTGAATATTGTGAGGTTTGAAACCATTTCATTCAAAATCAAATCCTGAGTTTAAGAAATTATTTTGTCTCTCAAAAAGTGTGGTCTGCTACTAATTTTTAAATTCTATTTTTTATTTAGATTTAATTATTTTTTTCTTATGTCTGTATATTTTATTTCAAGTGTAGGATTGAAAATATAAAAATTAAAACAATCCTTAGATGAAAAAAAAACAAATTCAGATATGTATATGAGAATTAGCAGAATATGAATCCTGTAAGATGATTTAATTTTCTTTCTTGTTTTTTAAAAGGAATGTTTACATTTTTTTTTTTTTTTCATTTAATTAAAAGAAACCTTTTGAAAAACTATTTAATAGATAAAAGTTTAAGTAATTACTGTCATCTTTATATATCATGACTAATGAATACTTAGTGTCCAAAATGGTTAATAACAGGCAAGGAAAAAAATGTCACTTCCTATTTAAAAAGGAAAAACACATATAACTTCTTGATTTGTCTATCATTTAAAAATGAAAAGTAGTAGAAAACCAGAGAGGAAAAAAAAAAATGCTTAAGTCTATTGGTATCAGAAAAAACTACAATCCAATCCAAATAACCCAGCATAGCAAAAAATCATATGAATCTCAACATGTTCAGTTCTATAGAACAGCCATCCTTTCGTTTGTACTTTGAATCAAAGAAGTACTTGTAGTGAACGAGATAATCAGGTACCCCGGAAAAAAGTTCGTGTTTTGTGTGCGATCTGCTGAAGAAGGATTACCAAAAAGTAGTCGGCAAAAATCTTATAGCATAGAAAACGACGACTTACCTCGTCAACCCAAGCGACAGCGTGTTGCGTGTATTCTGTGACGGAAAAAGAAACAAGTCCGTCGCAGGAGTCTCTATAAGAGTATATTGATATGAAAATTACGGAGCATCCTATCCCAGCTGTTGACGAATGAAAAAAATAGGTTCTGCCGATAAAAGCAGTTGGTGTTTTCGATTCGGGGAAGGAAAATTCGGGCATTTTTGGCTACGGCGTTTGTTGGAGAGCGAGTTATTTTCCTGACGCGTTACAAGTGATTTTTTCTTTGTGTTGTGAAAGTAACAAATGTGCTTTGAGAACGCTTACACTTCAGTACTAGAATTAATAAACAAAGATCTTTATAATGTAACACCAATCACAATATCCAAACCTCACATTGACCTAACATTGACACATAAAACAAAAAAAAAAAATAAGATACAATCAACAACAGCATATACGGAAAATTACGAGACAAATATTGTGACTATAAACCATTCTACACAGATGGATAAAAAAATCCTAGATAGAATAGGTACAGCAACCACAAACAGGCAAATTCACGAACAAACCAGGCTACCAAATTATGCATTCGTCTATACAGCTGAACTACAAGCCATGAAAATGGTACTTAAAATGATAGAAAATTCAAAAGATAGGAAATTTATAATCTTCTCAGACTCCATATCTAGTTTCACAGCAATTAAAGAAAATAACACAAATCATTCATATATTTCAGAAATCCTAGAAACTTGTGATCATTTAATAAAGCACAAAACAATAATATTGGCCTTGATTCCTTGCCATATAGACATCAAGGGAAATCATGAAGTCAACATCTTGGCAAAAGAAGAAAAATGAAAATAACTAATACCAAACTCTCATATACAGATTATAAAAACAAAATTGCACAACGCATAAAGAGATTTTCTCTTTATGCGTTGTGCAATTTAGGACATGTTCCCAAACAATAAATTATATGAACATCAGCTGACAATAAGAAATGAAAATATAGCCATTTGCTGATCTTAGACAAGACATAGTGATCAAGAGGATAAGAATTGGACACACACACACATGCTCAAGGCAGAAACTACATCTCAGTGTACTCAATGCAACCAATTCCTTACAGTCAAACCTATCTTGGTAGAATGTAAGAAGTACAAAAAATATGTAGCAACTATTACCAAGCTCAAAATCTTAACATACTCTTCAAAAGTGTACCTACTACCCAAATAATAGGATATTTGAAGAAAATAAAATACTTCCAACTAGAAAATAGTGTGCATGTTGGACCATACAACTCATGTTTTGAAATACTTCTGAACTATGTAACTTGTGATATTTTAAAAACAATTTTAAAACCTCACAACCATTTGAAACACTTTGAAACATTCCTGAATAAAAGTCCAGTTTCAGCATTAAATGACCCATAGGGGTTTGATGTGCTGATTAAACAAATAAACAGTTAAACTCTGTCATCAGTTTCAATCAAGACCATTTTACTAGAGTTACCATAGGAGGATACGACAACACTATTGTATCATTCAAGTACACTATCATTTAGCATTGATAAGACAGACATTTTCATAAAGAGAAAATTTCATTATAAAACATTTTTAATTGGTATCACTGGATCTATTCAAATATAAAACTGTTTCACACACTTAACTTTTTTAAACAGACATAAATTGCAAAATTAATTTTTTTTTTGTAAGTAGAAATTCTTGCCAATATTCTGATTATTCCTCTAAAATAAATCCTGTAGTGTTTGTTAAATGTTTTGTTATTGATTGTAGGTCAGGTATTTGTTGACTTAAAATTTTTATTTGATTAAAATGTTTCTTTGTTTTTCAGATCAGGTCTTTAGGAGTTAGAGCCAATTCTAAAAATGGCAAAATGGTCAAAACCGGTAACAAATTCCGAAGCAAATCAGTGTCTGATTTCTCTGAGAAGAAAGGGGTTGAAATCTGGGCAGATCAGGTAAAAAATGGTTTTGTAATAATATTTAAAAGAAATTGATAATTTGTAGCTTGTTTAATTGTATCTGAACTGCATGTCAATCTAGTGACAAATAAAATTAAAATCCATTTCAGTAACCACTTGATAAATATTTGCATAAGATTAAATGCTTTTGTCATCATTAGAATAAAGACTTGTAGATTACTTTACATATATGCCCAGTAGGTACAAAATATTATCTACTAGAATATTTAATATGCATAAGTAGTAACTGAGAGTTTATACTAAAAAAAAGAATAGATTAGGGTGGTTGATTTTTACATGTCAACCTTTTTGTAGCACCTAGTTAGGATCAAACTTCCTACTTAATAATAATAATAATAATGGCCAATCAGAGTAACCTTGTTAACCATTACAGCATACTGAAGTGCCTTTTTAAATGTGTTAGAACATTTTAGTTTTGTGCTTCTTATATAAATCATTTGTCTTTTTAAATGTTTGTTTTTATTCATCATGTATACAGACACGTAAATTTGTAAAGGTGGATCAATAAGTTTGTAGCCTAATACAGTTGTGTTGAATTTTGATCAGAAATCCTCCCTGTATAATGTTTGATCTGTTGGATTTTTTGCATTGACAAGGGAGCAGATTATGAAAATATTTGTAAAATGCTTCTTTTCATTAGGCCATGGACTTATTGATGTACTTGGTTGAACATTTATTTACATAATATGAATCAATCTCGTGAGACAAAGACATGTTTCTCCATAATTAATAATTTACTGTTGTCTTTTTTTATGGTTTTTCTTTTCCTTTAAACCAGTTTTTTATGTGCTGTGTCACTTCAGGATGTGGTTGATCATGGCTCTCCATAGCTTCCTGTCATTTGTAGCTCTAAGCATTGTCTGTCCCTTTACCATCCCTCTCTCTCGCTCTCTGCTTCATTTACACAAGCATGTTAGGCATGGGGTTATTTGATGTTTCACTTTTCCCCTCTTGCTTTCGTTATGTCCTGTGAGTGTTAAATTCTCTAAGCCCTCATAAATTTCAAATGTCTCTTTTCTAATTGTGTTCAAACTTTTCTCATTGTTCAGATGTTCTGTCCATGATATTCTCAATATATTTATCTTTTGTTACTTCAAATTTCCTCTTCATTTATGGGAAAATTCTCTAGCATTCAATGTCATGAATTTAGGATCTTTTTATATTTGATTAAAAACCACCAAATGATGTTTTCTTGTCAAGTATTAAACATTTTATTTCTTTTTAAGAAAGAAGAAATTCATTTATAAAGCCAATTCGATGATGCAACATATTGTACTATATGATTGATAAATTTTAATCTTGTAAATTATTTAATCTTCCAGATTGTAGACCATGTGATGGGAGTGAGTGATGTTGTTCCACAAAACATTACAGAAGCCCTTTGTAAGTATTCTCTTATTTCTGTGCCAATCTCAAATCTACTATGTTGATGATGATGATGATAAAATTGGGTCAGATTTATTTCATTACTTGTCCTGAAAGGTGAATTTAGACCAGGCATGGGCAACCTTTTATGATTAGTGGGTTGCATGAAATATGGCTCATCATTTTCATTGCTAAAAAGATTCAGAACGTGCCTCAGCCATTTTCACTACAGAAGATATTACACACAAGAAATGAGGGGTGGGTGGGAATATTGATTTCCCCACCCCCTTCCTTGGAGGAAAGAGTTTTTTTCTATAATTAAAAAAAAAAAAAAATGAAGTCTTGGTATAATAACATAGATGATAGTGTCATTAACACACACTGCTTCATATGATTAATTTCTAATTTGTTCCCTTGAAAAAAAAAAAAAAAAAGAAAAAACGTTTCTTCTCCAGAGAAAAAAAAATTCTGAAGGTTTCCTGTTCCTTATGCAAAAGATATTTATACGTCTGGTCTTTCCTAGCGAAAATTGCCAATCATTTAAATGAGGAAAACGTTACTTTCAGTAAAAGTTCAAGAGGCATTGCTCTTACTCATTATTTATATATCTGGTTATGTACGAGGGAGATTGTGTGAGTGAACAAGTGAAAATAAATCAAAACAAACCAAATTTTAAATTCTAATTTCTTTATGAAATTTGGTGTGCTATTCAGAAAGGCAAACAGGCTGCATATGGCCCATAATTGATTTTGTTTGTTAAATGTTTAGTTTTAAAAACATTGATAGTTTATATTGAAATCTATTTTTTTTTTTCATGCCTTTTGTATTCAAATATATTTTGAATATGAAAAAAAAAATCACATGGAGAGAATTGTAAGAGTTAGAAGTGTAAGATTAAACCATCCTGTTGTAATTCTGCTTGTTCTTCCCTTTGCTAGTTTACATGAATGTTGCGTCCTGCCAATACTTCATAAATAATGGGATATTCTGCATTTTGATTGCGTGGAAAGATGAGGGAAAGATATTACTTGGATTCAATGAGAAAAGGAAAGAGAGAGAGAATGAATGAATGAATTTAAGCTGATAAAAACAGATACTACACTTTGTTCTCAGCCAAAAGGTGGAAAAGTGATAGCAGCCAATGAAAGTGCCATTTTTCAGATGCACCATATCAAACGATTGAAACTAAGTAAGGCAATCGTATAAATTCTAATTACCATTAATTAAATAACATCGTTTGCTGAATTATTTTAAAATTATTATTAAGAGAAATGTTTGTAAGACTGGGATTTGGCTAGAAAGAAAGAAATGAGGGAAGATAAGTGTTTAACGTTTTCTGTCAAAATATCTCATAAATAATGGACTATTCCAGTTTGATCTCTGGAAAGAGGGGGAAAAGACATGGACTTGATTTTAGTGAAATAGAAAAGTTATCAATTTCAAATCTTTTCATTTCTACATGCTTCCATAACTATCATCATTCATATTTATGATTGTTATTGCAATATTTTGTTAAGCTTAAATATTTAATGATTCAATAAGGGAATTTCTGTGGATATTTTATTGTCACCATGAGCTTATTCAATCATTAACTGAAAAATTAAGATTCATCAGAAAATTTAAATAGGAAAAGTCATCAAATTTTCACAGGTCATTCTAGTTTTTATAATTGGTTAGTTGGGAGGGGGGTAATTTTTGAGCTTTTGGTTTAATATTGGTTGCATTCTTGGCACTTAGATGCACATTCTATTCAAGTGCTAGATTTTTCTTTTAGCATTTTGATATTATGAATATATAAGAAATACCAGTTTTCTTGTTGGTGCAAATATCTTTGATTTAAAGTCTATTAACAACCAAATCTAAAGTTTCAGTAAAACTTTCACTTAGACTCATTATTGTTATGTTTGTAAGACTTAATTATAATGTATCTCTCTTCTGAGTTACTAAGTCAGGCAGTTTTATTGCCTGACACTTGAATCCAAATGTTTGTTTATTTATTTATTTCACTCTTTGCAGCTATGGATGCTTTCAAATCTAGAGATAAATTGGCACGTAGTCCAGTGAAAAGCACCTCCTTTGTAAAGAGTTTCTCTACCTGTCATGGTAAGTTAACATTAGTTTTTTTTATCTTTTTATTAGTTTTTTTTTTTATCTTTTTATTAGTGTTCTTTTTTTATCTTTTTATTAGTGTTCTTTTTTTTATCTTTTTATTAGTGTTCTTTTTTTATCTTTTTATTAGTGTTCTTTTTTTTATCTTTTTATTAGTGTTCTTTTTTTATCTTTTTATTAGTGTTCTTTTTTTTATCTTTTTATTAGTGTTCTTTTTTTATCTTTTTATTAGTGTTCTTTTTTTATCTTTTTATTAGTGTTCTTTTTTTATCTTTTTATTAGTGTTAGTGTTTTTTTTATCTTTTTTATTAGTGTTCTTTTTTATCTTTTTATTAGTGTTCTTTTTTATCTTTTATTAGTGTTCTTTTTTTATCTTTTTTTATTAGTGTTCTTTTTTTTTATCTTTTTTATTAGTGTTCTTTTTTATCTTTTTATTAGTGTTCTTTTTTATCTTTTTATTAGTGTTCTTTTTTTTCTTTTTTTAGTGTTCTTTTTTTTAGTGTTCTTTTTTTATCTTTTTTTAGTGTTCTTTTTTATCTTTTTTATTAGTGTTCTTTTTTATCTTTTTTTAGTGTTCTTTTTTATCTTTTTTATTAGTGTTCTTTTTTATCTTTTTATTAGTGTTCTTTTTTTATCTTTTTATTAGTGTTCTTTTTTATCTTTTTATTAGTGTTCTTTTTTTATCTTTTTATTAGTGTTCTTTTTTTATCTTTTTATTAGTGTTCTTTTTTTATCTTTTTATTAGTGTTCTTTTTTTTTATCTTTTTATTTGTTTTCTTTATCTTTTTATTAGTGTTCTTTTTTTATCTTTTTATTAGTGTTCTTTTTTTATCTTTTTATTAGTGTTCTTTTTTTATCTTTTTATTAGTGTTCTTTTTTTATCTTTTTATTAGTGTTCTTTTTTATCTTTTTATTAGTGTTCTTTTTTTATCTTTTTATTAGTGTTCTTTTTTTATCTTTTTATTAGTGTTCTTTTTTTATCTTTTTATTAGTGTTCTTTTTTTATCTTTTTATTAGTGTTCTTTTTTTATCTTTTTATTAGTGTTCTTTTTTTATCTTTTATTAGTGTTCTTTTTTTATCTTTGTTTTTTTTTTTTTATCTTTTTATTAGTGTTCTTTTTTTATCTTTGTTTTTTTTTTTTTATCTTTTTATTAGTGTTCTTTTTTTATCTTTGTTTTTTTTTTTTTATCTTTTTATTAGTGTTCTTTTTTTTTTTTTTTTTTTTTAAAGAACATTTTAAAAAATGTTGCTGAAGATCATGCTAAAACAACATGATTGTATTATGACATTTGAAATGGTTTCCTTGGTACAAATATTTGGTCCATTTCTTAAAAGAAAAAATATCTTGGCTGAAAAATTAGGAGACTTGTATTTATTTAAATTGATTTCTTGGTAACAAGTTTCAATTGCAGTGGAATTTTATGAAGTCTTTAACTATTGCAAGACTGTAATCATAAACCAAAGCCCTATTCCATTTTTGTAGCAATTTCTTTTAATAAAGGAATACAATTGTTTTATTTGATCATCACTTAGACATTAATTTGGTGTCTTTGAAATTTTTGCAAAATGTGAAGCTGCATTGTCTTGCATGAATATCTTTTGGCTTAAAGTTCCTTCATTGTAACCTGTATCACTTTAAAGAATAAACAACATTTTGTCTGCATTTAGCTTAAATCATAATTATCAATTTTAAAAGGACCTATAATTTTGCTGCATATTCCCAAATCATGATTCCATTTTATAATAGTTTCAGTTAGCCATTATAGGTGGAAATCTTGCTGATGTCTTTGCTTGGTTGCTTATATGAATTTTTGACACATAGGAAAAATAAAAGTTACTTTGTAGCTGTCACAAACAAGATATATAATAAATAATAATAATGTTGTAACTTTTTTATTTTCAATGAATGAAAAATAACATAACAACATAATAATATAAAACAATTCAATACATTTAGTGTACAAGTCTTCTTGCTTTTGCAAGACAGTCTTTGTGTGGCGAAAATTACATTCACTTTATTTAAATGAAAAATGTTTAAATCTGCATTCTGAATTGATTGGCTTTAACAAAACAAAAAACGTTTTTTAAATCGGGCTATTCTGAATAAAATCAAATTTTGCTCAAAGGTCGATTTCACTCAACTTTCAAAATTTAATCAGTTGATTTTTAAAGCAGTGAAATTTGATGGCCACGGTATTTTATAATCTGAGCAAGGTTGGAAGTGAAAGACTGAATTTAGTTCTAAGAAGAGCTTCAGATACTTCATTTTTCTATAGACTATATTTGTTATTAGTCAGTTAAAGTTAATCCTACCTTGGGTGAAGGAGGAAGGGTCCCTAGCAACAAACTTTTTGTTTATATTAACAATATTTTTTTGTATTTATTGCCTACCATGTGTATGAAAGTGGCAATTGATGTATGATTGGCCTGTAGGTAACAAAAAAAGTTCTCAAAGCTGATATAGACCACAACTGATTTCAATTATTTTTCCTCTTTCTTTATAAGAGAAAATATTCCAATATAGACTAGGGTGGTAGCATCTGTTAGGGTCCCAGCTATGGTCAAATAGTGAACCCCCTCAGTTGGGTTAAAACATTATGAAAATATAAAAATACATTATTTATATTAAAAAAAATTAGCAGCAATACATTTTTGAAAAAAGATAAATTACCAAAGCTGCCAAGAAAATAAAATTTCAGCATTAAATGAGCCATAAGGAGTTGATATGCAGTTAAGCAAATCATAGATCACAACTGATGTCAATTATTTTTTGTCTTTCTTTCTTATAGAAAATATTCCTGAGATTGAAATAGATGCAGGCACTCCTTCTTCTTCTTCTTGCCAAAAGAGTGTCAATCTGAGTTCTGTTTCCAGCTTGACTGAATTGTATAACAGTCCAGTGATTACGTCAACTGACACCAAAGGCAATGGCTGCAATGTGTCGTCCATTGTTAATACTGAGCAACAATCCAGTCAAATTGGGAACAATCTCGACATCAGTCTGGATGCATACCTCCAGTTACCTTCAGATCACAAGGGACTCAATCTGGATATATTTGAAGATGTTCCCTGTCCCAAGATGCATTTCAGTGATTTAAATTCTGGAGAAGATGCCTCGGACCGTATGACACTGACAGATGGCGCCAGTCTCTCACTTCTTCCCAGCATTCAAGACCTCTCAAAAGATTGTAATTCTAAAGATACATCAGAGCAGCAAGACATTGACTGTTCAGATTATTTCACACCTTTGAAATTTGGTCTGCATTTAAAACGGACTTCAAATTTGTCATTTTTGGAAGAGAAACCTGCAAAAAGTAACCAAAGTAAGTTTTTATTTTTTTATTTTTATATATTGTTCAATTTGTTAGTTTGTTCCCTTTTTATTACCTTAATTGTTCACTTATTATTGTTATTATTATGTTAATTCTATTAAATGACTAAAAGAACCTTCAGTTTGATATCGCAAAATGGATTTACCTTTTGGAGATTTTCAAATAAACTTAGTGTAGATACTGTCCTTATAAAATTTTCCTTAACTTTGTTATAAGTGAAATTTGAATGCACCTATGCAATTTATTTATTTTGTTTTATTTATTTATTTATTTATTTTTTTTATGCCATTATCTTCATTTTCTGTTTTATTAATTTGATGGGAAAGAGAGTTCCCAACAACATTGTTTGCATAATGTTAGGGACAAATCTTCATGCAAGAGGTTACAGAGCCTGGGGACTGACTCCCCAGCAACTCGTCTAAGATTTTAAAGTTCTCTCTTATAACTTAGTTTTATAAAGCTTTGGTGTAGTTATTGTTGAGATAAAATAGACACTTGGTTTTAGTTACAAATTGCAAGATATTTATCCAGCCAATATGGCAAATTGGTGACAAGGGGTTAAAGGTATTTGGTCTTGACTCCCTTGTATCTTTGAGTTCAGGTTCAAATCCAGTTGACTGTGTTGATAATTTTCAGCATGGTATTTGTGTAACAATTCTTTATCATCAATTACTGGTACCTGGATAGACTGTTTCTGCTCAGTGCTCTAGTAAGCAATTGGTTTGTTTGAATGACACATTAAAAAAGAAAGTATCTTTTTGTGCAAATCAGTTGATAAGTAATTTTGCTGAATTACAAAACCTGAGAGAGGAAGAGGCTTTTTTTGGTTTTTGTTCTCCAATGATTTGTGGGGAGACTTTCTGATAGTAACATGCCCATCCACATTTCTTGGTCATTTGCTCATTGAGGAGGAGGAGGATAGTAATAGTTCTTTCATTGTTTATTTGTCGATGGTTGAGAAATGCCAACATTTGGGATATGTTGTGGTAAACAAAAAATCTTCAAAGTGAAATCACATAAATAATGAAATAACTATAGCATGTCATTCTATATTAAACAGCCAAGTCATAATGTAGATAGGAAGAGAACTGGAGGCCAGTTTTAAAACATTCCTTGATCCAATGAGAGCAGTGCAGCATTTTAGTTTCACTTTGCCTAGCTACTCCACTGGTGTTGTTGCCTTTAAGAAATTTAAAGAAATTTTTCCTTAAATTTTTGGAATATCATTTACATTAAGTAAGTATAAGATTTATTTATTTTAGTCTGAGTTGCAATATTATTTATTATGTAAATTGTAAAAACAAACTTTTTTGGTCTGTAATTCACTATGCAAAAATGGTATTTAGCCTAAATAATTTAGGAATCTTGGTCTTGTTACTTTGAATTTTAAACTTCTTATTTAACATTTTTCCCTTAAAGTATTGAAGGTTTTTCTCAAAAAAAAAAAAAAAAAAAAAAGCACAAATGTGCTTAACTTCTTTTTACACGCTTCTGTTTTTACTGCAAAATTTATTTATGTAAAATTAAAATAAAATGCCATTATTTGTGAATGGTTGCAAAGTTATTTTAATAGTTTTCTTTGATATTTTTATTCGTAAGAAATATTCATTGATAAAATTTAATTCTTTTATGAGTAATTTGTGTTTTATTTTAAGCAGTAAATTATTTTAGTTTAGTTTAAATTAAATGCAGACACAAATGTAATATTTTTGTATTTCAAAAGGAATGAAAAAAACATGAATGTTTTTACATAAATTTAATGATATATAATTTATAATTAAATTCTAAATATTTAATTCAGTATTTATTTTGATATTGTAAAAATGCTGTGAAGGTGAATGAAATTAATCCTGCTGCTCAGTCATTTTTCCAGAGTCTTCTAAAGATTTTAAAAAATATGGTAAAAAAGTTAGCTTAATGACCACTAACTCAACATTTTTCTTTTAACAGTTTATTCGATGTTCTTGAAAAAATAAAAAGTCAACAGTTACACTTCAAAAATGAATTCTTTTTTAACGCCCTGTATATTTGTTTCTAAAAGTTAAAAAAAAAAAAAAAAAAGTATGAGTTTTTTTATTATTATTATTATTTTACCATATTCTCCGTTATTGGCAACTGTAATGATTTACATATTAAAATTAAAGAAAAAAATGACATTAATAAATAATGTTGCATACAGTTAGTCTAGTTTTTAACAGATGTACGTCTTTTCAAAGGCATTTTTCTACGCCTGTTTTTAAAGTTTTTATACTTTGAAATTTATTAAAAAATGAATTTCCATTATTATTTCATAAAGTTACTTTAACATTTTTCTTTAATGTTATTCATAAAGAATAAATGCATTCATAGAATTATTTTTTTATTAGTTGTATTTTTAAGATAAAATAAACAAATATTAATATTTAGTTTAAGTTTTAAAATTTTCTATTAAAGTGTAAAATAGAACCAAATGTCATGTGTTTATTAGAAAATTAGTGAAAAATCCAATCTGTGAGTGCGTGAGATGAATGAAATATCAGCTTATCATTTTCTAAAAGACAAAGATGAGAGAGAAAGACAGTAAATGCCAATCTGAAGGTTACAAACAATAGTTATTTGTCAACTACATTTTGTTTTGTTGATCTGGTCTTGAATACTTCTGAGCTTTGGAGCTGAAATAGCTCATCTGCTGGTTGGTATTCAGAATTCTATTTTAAAATCTGAACAAAGAATTGGATAATTATAATCTGTCTTAGTATCTTATTTCATTGAATGACCTTTAACCCTGTGTGAATGATCTGAATCCGATGACCCTTTCTTGTGATTTTATATATATATATATATATATATATATATTATAATTATTTAAAAAAAAAAAAAATGATTCCTTCGCTACATAAGAGTTCTCATGTTTCAAAAACGAGAGCCGAAACCCTCAATATAATTATTGAAATTAAATTGAGTTAAAGTATCAAGCCCTGTTTCATCCTCAAGTGAAAATTTAGGAATAACCAATCTTGAAATTTATGCATCGTTATAAGCATGTTCATTCGTTACTATGGAAACAGCTGGGGCGATGTAGCGGAACTGAAAGGCAGCAGTCTGTGGGTTCTGCTGAACTGACTACAGTTTGCTGTTCTAAGAGGCAACAAGTGGCATGCGTAATATGTAAGCATAATAGTGGACGCTTACGCAAATGTAGCAACAGTCCCTGGCAAAATGAAATACTGGACGAACGAGGAAAGAAAAGAATGGCCTACCTTGGAAATGTCCACAAATCTGTGCATCATGTGAAGTCCGGCTGCTCGACGGCGAAAAAAGAATCAAAATGGCGGCGCCCATGTTTTATGACGGGTGGTCTCTGATGACTAACACGAAATCTCATTGGTTAGTGATTCGTATGTAAATTATGATCAGTCCTTGGCTGTATAAAGTGAGCCGTCTTTTGGGAGAGACAGAGGCGTTCTTGTTGGCAAGAAGCGAAGGCTGGGTGTGTGACCCAATTTTGCCATCTCTACGTGGCCTGTTGGATTGTTATGTCGGACAGTCATTGAACTGGATTTTGGCTACAAATGTTGCGGTTGAGAGACGAATCTGTTGCAGACTTATTCCTACCGGAAATTGATACTCATTATTTGCTTTCTTTTGCTTTTTCTTTTCTTTACCAACACAGGCAGCCATTTTTGATAAGGGGCCTAAGAGTTAATTTTTATCCACATATCAGTCACCTTCAGGAAGGGGTCAAGCTGAGATAGGGTGGGTGTCTATTTCAAAGCAAATGATGGCATTCATGTATGCGTATCGTCTGGTCAGTCACAGAGAAAGATAGATTTTGGCACCATGGTATGTTGTATAGTGTCTGGATAATTTTTGTTTTATTTTATTTATTTATTTATTTATTTTCAATGGGCTGTTTCATATATAAACGCGTTGCACTGAACTACAATTTTTTTTTTGACGACTTCATAAAGGGTTTTTCTATTTAATGATTGGATTAAGCTTTTAAATATGAATTTTTTTTTTTTTTTTAAGCTAATTATTTATTGCGAAAATTTGTTCATGTCAGCAAAAAACCGTTAACTCATGTCTATGGTTTAATAAATTTTCATTATTTAGAAACTTAATTATGTGTAGTTTTTCATGTAGGCATAAAGAGCATGGGTCATCCCAGGTTTTACAAGTTCTTGTTCTATTTATTATTTTCCATTTTACTTTTGGTCTTTTATTCATTTCTTTTAAATGCCAAAAATATTTGGATAGAGATGTTTGATTTCTATTTCTAATATTATTGAAGGAGCTTTTGTGCTGCCTCCATCTAATTTTAAATTCATTCTTCGTTGAGCCTATGTATATCCTATCAGTGTTAGGACGCTCAATGGATGAGATAGTGCATTGGTATACCACGGATTTTATGAGGCATTTAATTTCCAACAGGCTGTCTTTAGGGTTTCTACAATCACATAATTTTTCATTATTTTTGTCTGATTTTAGTTTAGGATTTTTACTAATATTATTTTGACGTGCGTGTGTTTCCAGGATTTTATTATTGTGTTTTTTTATGATTAGTTTCAAAATAATAAACTGTTCTCAAAATATCTGCATGTATTTTAAAATCTCTTGTCAAACTGTAGCTATTCATTTCACTGTTAGTCAAAACAGTTTCTTGTTAAGAGAAAAATGTTTTTATTCTTTTATTTCATGTCTGGTATGGAGAGATTTGTATGATTTTCTTCTGAATGGTTCATTGAATATACATTAATTTCTTGACTAATCTATATTACTATCACATGGTTGTAAAATCTCTTCTTTCATGGAATAAGTTTCAGCAAACCAATAGAGAAGGTGGAATGAAAAGTTCTTGTGCTTGTAGCATATTACCCAAAAGCCTGTCTCTTTCATTGTTATTTACTTCATGCAACACTTTTTGTTCAGGCCTGCTATGAAGTTAAAAATTATCTTAAAAATTACCTTGAATCAAAACTGGAATGATGGATTTAATTTAAATACACAATTTACTTGAATAGTTTCAAATAAAATGGAGAAAACACTGTAATGATTGAATAAGTAATATTACAAATAAAATAGTTATCAAAATATTGTAATTTTTGTATCAATTTAATATTGATTTACAATAATTGAACCAAGTTCAACTCCAGTGGCTTTAATTTTTGAGATTTTTTTTTTTCCTAAGATTTAAAAATCTTGGAAGACGCAATTAAAAAATAACTCGATATGAGAAACCTGAAGAAATTCTGAATGCCTTTGTATTGAACAATTTCACGCCTTTCTTGGTTAGGTTTTGTTCTTTTAGCAATGGGTGACAAATTTCCAAAACCTTGTGGATCTTAAAAGGAAAAAGATCCTTCTGAACAGTAAATGTCTAATATTTTATACACTTAGTCTATAAAAGACAATATATTTAATGTCTATTTGCAGGTAGCTTGCTTGATACTGTCCTGACTACTTCCATGGCCGCTTCACTTAAAGAACCTGAAGAAATGATATTTGAAGGTGAGTTTTACTTGTTTTTATTTTGGAATCTTTTTTTATATTATTGTATTGGACTTGTCAAATGAAGTCATTTAAATTAAATGAATATTGGATTTATTGTTTATTGTTTTTTTTTTCCCTTTATTCATTTGAGTAAAATGTATTTGTAGGCAAAGCAATAGATCTTAACCAATATTTTAATTTTGTTGTAAGTCTTCAGGATTAACTTTTCATCTTGTTTCAACATGATCTCTCAAGTTTATCACAAATTTATCAATATTTTAAATTGTCTGGGACTATGGCTATCAATTCCCACACTTATTGATAATGATAGTTTGAATTAAGCCTATCAATATGTTAACTATACTTAAAAGTATTTGGGCTTCTCTCTGACTTGACATCTATTTGGACATTGCACAGAATGTTTTCTACCCACTGGCATGCACTTAATGTATCCAGGCGAAAATTTCCATCATCCTTTAGGGTGTTGTTATTTTATTTTCTCTTAGTGCAGTTAGTAAAGCTTTGATCATATCATACATATACTCTATTGCTGAATTATACATCTATTTTATCTAAAGCCTACATTTTAGGTTAAAAGGAAAATCTGCACCACTTTTTTTTTCACTATGTTGGCTAATTCATTGATTTGGATCGGTAGGAAGAGTTTTTTGATTGGATGAATGTGAAAACATGTCTTAAATATTCTTCATATTGCATTTAAGGAAAACCAAATACAATCTTTACAATTTGTTTTAATTTTCATTTAAAAGGACAAATATTCTTTTCTGTTTTTATTTTTTGCCTGCTGTTGATTAAGTGCATTATGTGTGATATTTTAATCACTTGCAGTAATAAATAGTAATCAATAAATTTATATATAAAATGAATACTAATTTTGCTCACAGTTATTATGGGGGTAAAAAAGAGTCATTGTAAAAGTCTATTACCAAACAAAGGATGAAATTTTTGAATGTTGACTCATTAAAGTTAAATTATTGATTATTGAATGATTTCCTTTGTGCTAAATGCAATTTTTGTGATTTCTGTTGTGGAAGAAAAAAATTATTACTTAAAATGATAACTTCGATTTTAAGTTGAAGAGAAATTTTCTAAATATAAGAAAGTAATTAACAATGTAAGTGACTTGGTGTTAGGTTGAAGCATTTCAAGCCACAGATACTTTATTCCAATTTTGAAATTGGACTTTAATGATTTCTTCTATTATAATGAATATTTTATCAATTTTGAATAATATATTTATTTTTGTTGATTGGGCTCAATATTTGAGAAATCTTATTAAAGAAAAATATGTGCACACCTGCAGGATTTGAACCTGCATCCCACTGGGCAGAAGGGGAACCATTGTTAGATCTGACGTGCTTAAGAGCAACTTGGTTCCATTTTCTCAGGGGGGGGACATAGGTTTGACTCCTGCTGGAGAGCACATTTTTTTTTTTTTTTTTTTTTTTTTATAAGATTTCTTGAATAGGTCTGGTCGATGAAAATAAACAAATATACTGTTTAATAAATAAATGGAGAGTCTACTCAAATATGAGTATTTACTAGAAATAATGTTTAAAGTGACATAAACTGTCAGATTAATAAATAAAAATCCATTACTTTAGAAAATGAATATTTGTGAAGATACAATTAAAATTATTTATAAAATGTCTGACTTTGTTTTGGACATTTCACAAAATTAATTTCTAATTATTTTGCCTGTTTTAGTGAAGATACAACTTTGACTATTTAAAAAGAAAAAAGTTTCTCAGCAGGTTTTTTTATTTTTTAACTTTTGATAAAAGTTCTATATATTGTCCACATGTACCTAAAGAGATAACAAAAGAACAGACTTGTTTACAAGTAAGACTAATTTCTTTATTATTTACATTTAAACTATTTTGTTTGATTTAATTAATTTGTTTTTTATTTTTATTTTTCAGACGAAGACCCAGTTTTTCTTGTTCCCTGAAATGATAATGAAGTCTAAATAGGAATAGTATTGAAAATTCCTTGTGAACTCTGACCTTAAATAAGTCTGTTTTAACCAACCAAAATGTCTACACACCTGTATATTATTATTGATCAACATACTTTTAGCATCGTATCATTATCACCTTTATCTTGTCCAGTTGTTGAATTATGTATTTTTAAAGTTCCACATTTTCAACTCTATTTGAGTTTGATATTTTCTGTAAATAATTAATCTTTTTGAAGAGATCACATTTTTAATTTTTCTTTTTTTTTTCCCCTAAAAGAAAAAGGAGATAATAAAATAAATACCCCCATTTTTGATCAATGGCCAGAATTCGTTCAAATTGGAACCTTATTATATTTATGCATATAAACTTTGAGAAAATTGCCTAACTCTTAATTCACATCTGTAATAAGATTGAATATTTACTTTCAAAAGCCATTCCCTTCCCTTGTAATTTCTATCTGTAATAAATAATCTATAATTTAGCATCCCTTTCGATTCTTTTTGTAATTTCTATTTTTTCAAATGTTTGTAATAACAATTACTTCCTGAATTTTCAAAGATAACTTAAAGTTGTTGATTAGACAATTTTTTTTTTTTTTTAACAAAATAATCTTTTCATATTTTTTCTATGTTAACTTTTTCTGCGTTAACACATTTTCGAATATTTTTTATTTGCATTTTGTTGTATCAAAACATTTTCTTGAAAAATATTAAAAAAAAAAAATGAATCCATTCAACTTTAATAAGCTTTTCTGCTTAAGTTTTCGGCAATCTTTTTCACTTGAATTTCCTTAATTATGTGATATCAGTGGGACAAAACAAAGCCCAGGGCTCTTTTTAATTGAAAAAAAAAAAAAAAAAAAATGAAATTATCCATAGGACATAAAATATTGTTTTTATGTAAATCATTACGCTTTAGGTGTGATAATGAGCAGAAATCTTGAATTTAATGTGCACTGTGTGTGTGTGTGTGTGTGTGTGTGTGTATATATATATATATATATATATATATATATATATATATATATATATATATATATAATGCATGTACCTTTTAACAAGTCATTCATTGAAACAAGATCATATTAAAACCAAATGTGCTTATTTGTTCCCAGAAATAAAATGATGAAGCAGGATTTCAATTATTTGTAGACAATTTTTCAATCCAATGTAATTTTCTATTTCATTATAAACCGTAAGAGAGAATAAAAATGACTTAAAGATTTGACTATGTCTAACTAAAAATATTCATAATTTTAAAAATTTACATCGAAAGGAAGTTCTGTAATTTTACCTAACTTTTTAGATTGTAAAGTGAATCCAAGCTGTTAACCTAATTCCAAAAGCTTGCTTCCTTTAACAAGAATTTCTACAAGTAAATGATTGTATTGCTTATATTATGTATTTTATTTTTGACAAATTCTAGACTAAATCCTGCTTAGTAAATAAATAAAAAAAAAAAATGAATGTTTTAGTTGTCTTCAAACTTTTAAGCATGAGGAGCACATTGTATATTTGACATTTTTTTGTGGGGGAGGAAAATAAAAAAAAAAATAAAAAAAAAAAAGTAAAAAAATATAAACGAATGAATATTTTCTTGTAATCAGCATATGATATAATTTAAGGCAAGAGAATGTGACTAATTTTGTGGTCCTTAAGATGCATGGACAACTTTTTGTGATCTAATGCTAGAGGAAAATATTCAAGGGAGATAATTTATATTTGACTACCCAAATATTTTACAATGTAAAAAAAAATTTTCTTGATTTATGAAATATTTTCTAAGAGATAATTGGCTAAGTTACTTTTAAATCTAAAATAAAAACTTTCAAATGAAATGCAATTTTTTTCATGCTATAAAAAAATTTCAAGTTTTAAACCAAAACGTAAGTAGATTCTTTGTTTATAAATGCTTAATTTGTTTCTAGCATTATTTTAGTACTATATTTTTTTTCTGTTAATTACATTGAAAGCATTTATATAAAACTGTCTTTAATCCAAGGATGTATAGAAGGTGACATTTGATGCTCTATAGTTTGAATATTATCCTTTCCATATTAAAGGATGGCGGCAACAATTATTTTTATTTTTTTTTATTGATAGGAAACATTATCAATAACCACAGATGCCTTTTTCTCTAAACATAAAAAGGCAGAGAAAATGGTTGGCATTAAAAAACTTACATCAATTTAGAATTATTTTTCTTGTGCTATATTGTCTGCAATTATGTTAAAAGAAGTTTGAAAATTAATTTAATTTTTTTGGAAACTTATTACACCTTTTTAGAGAAGAATTTCTTTTATGTTTTTAGATATTGACAGTTTTAAAAGATGTATCCTTGAAAAAGCTTTAATTTTTTTTTCAATAGTAATTTAAATTTTAAATTATTAATTTATAATCTTAATCTGTTAAATGCAAATTAATTTTTTTTTATTTTTCATATAACTAAAATGTTTGAGATTTAGCTTAAATCTTTTTGGGGTTTTTCTTTTAGATTGAAATTTTCTGTGGAACATTTGCATCTTCATCAAAAAGTAAATTTTGTCAACCAGGATAACAATAGAAACAAAATGTCCAGTCAATATTGAATTCTCTCTTGAGATTTAAAAAAAAAAAAAAGTAAAAGCTCCAGTTTTATTGTTTAGTGAAAGTGAAGAAAAAAAATAAGCAAGTAGGAGTAATTATTTGCTTGTTTTTCTTCTTCACTATTTTTCTCTCACTCATTCACATACACACTTTAGTATGTCCTGTACTGGTGAATGCTACCACACATACACTTATCGTAAACACTGGTTCGTTTCATTTCATTAAACATTTGTATAAATAAGAAATATAACATTAATAATTTAGATTAAAACTTATCTTTGTTTAAAGTATGAATTATTGATAAACCTATTAAATGTTTAAACTATGATTTGCTTAAGTATTTCTTGAGGCTTGTTACATGGGGTTGGGTTGGGGCTGACAAATGAAATGTTTTGTCAAAAACAAACGAATGAGGGTTGTTTGCTAAAGCTGAAAATCCAAAGATGAAATTTGCATGTAACTTAGAAGACCATGCTTTTTAATGTATATAAAAAAATAATGAATCAAAAGCTGTAATACATCATACATTTCTGTACAATATAAAATAAATGACATTATAATAAAGAATGTGATATTTACTTACCTTTCTGACACTGTATTTCAATGGGATTGGACATCCAATGTTTTAGCAATAAAAATTATTTTAGACATACAGACTTTTTGACCATTGTGCCTGCCAGCCTTCATCAAGAACTAATTGATCTGGGTAACCTACAGGGCATTCTTAACTGAACCCTTTATCTAATCTACATGTGTAGACTTTTCTCATTCCACTACCCATGTCTTGGGTTATTGAGTTTAGTTTTTATTTTTAATACTGCTCAGTTATTTCTGAGTCCAAGTACGCACTGCCTGGACCAGGGATTGAACTCACAGATACTATGGTACTAAATTCATGAACCAAAGATTGAATCCACTAAGCTATTGTCAGTGGAAACTGGGTGAGCAATAACTGAGCAGTATTAAAAATAAGAACTAGGTGAGATATCCCAAGACATGGGCAGTGGTATGAGAACAGTCTCACTGCATAGATTAAAAATAAAGGGTTCAGTTCAGGATTCCCTGTATGTTACTGTGTTGAAAATGAATGATCTTTAATGTACTGACAGTTGTCATCTCACCCACAGTTGCCAAATGCAATCCTCTACCCAAATGCATACTAAGTTTTCCACTCTGAGGACATACAAGCCAACTTTGGAGACTCTTTTTTTTTTTTTTTCTTTTTGTCTGCCAAATCAAAAACTTGTTTCATTTTGGGTGGGTCATTGGATGCCACATGCTGCCAAATACTTCCCTGCTATTTCTGCCACCTGTTGCACACCAAACACTTCTTCCTTACTACACTCTCTCCTGATCACTGCATCAAGTTGGGTGTGGTCGTTTTTTGTCTGGTGGTGCTTTGTTGTGAAGAGGCTTCATCATCAATCTCAATCTGGTGAGTTGTTGAATGTGTTGAGGTATATCTTTAGTTTTTACTGATGCTTGGACATATAATCATCTGCTCTGCTTATGGCAGAAAGTTGATCCCATGTTGGTCAAAGATCTTTAACATGACATGGCATGCAGTCGACAAGTACAGACTGTGGACTGACAATCTTGGTCACTGTTCCTGTCGTAGATTTGGAAGTACAGTGGCTCTGGGGGTGATTTCACCCATGCAACATCTACTATATTTAATATATATGTTTTGTTATTGCTTTTGGTGACGATAGTGTGTCAATATCTTCCAATCTAATCTCATGGGTGTAGACTGCATTGGCTGGTACAGTAGGGCCTGAGGTGCTATCTTTCAGTGTTGCTTTGTAACAATACATGGCTTCCTGCATCGCACACTGCTTTCTTTTGTTAATCTCTCCACAATCCTATTTCCTGATGGAACATGAACACTGAAGAGGGTTTTTTGCAAATCATTCCAAAGTTCACCAAGTGATTTCTCATTCACTCTGCAGAAACCATATTGTCATTAACATAAATGTGATTGACGTATGAGGAAGTAGGCCTTTTATTAGTGTACGTAAATTAATGCATCAGAGACACGAAGGAGAAAATCTTATTTGAACAATTGCCATGAAACTGTAGAAGAGACGTAGGGAGGGAGGGGGAGCCACTTCATGTCAGGGAGAAAGTGACTAAAGTTGAGATGCCAGGTTAAGATCGATTACATTGCAGATGTGGCTTTGAATTTTATCAAAAATCTCGAGATATAAAGCAGGTACACCAGATCAGATATGGCAGCAGTATTCAATGCATAGACAAATGGTAGATTAATAAATGTGCAAGATGGATTCTGACAAGAAAAATCGTCTGGCCTGACACAGTGAATCAACTTTCCTGACAGTAGACAGATCCCCCCCCCCAACCTGAGCCATTGATTCAATCTAATCACTCCATTTCATGTCAGTGGA